TTGGTCAAAATTCGATTATGACGTCAAATGTTCTTGCTTTCCTCTGAATTTCCTATTGTGATGTCATGAAAAAGGCGACCATGCCTGATGACATCACATGGAAAGAACACATCTTTTTGCAGATCATTTGAAAAGAAGGATTAGGATTGTCTGCATATTGTCTAAAAACCATTAGAGAGACAGATTCCACCACCAATTCTAGTGCAATACAATATTTCTCAACTCTGACAAATTCGAATCTCGGCAAACCTCGTGTTTTAAATTTGAAAATTTAACGGTCTTGAGTAGATAAATATTGTATCATAAAATTGAGAATGGAAATGGGGAATGTGTCAAAGAGACAAAAACCCGACCATAGAACAGACAACAGCAGAAGGTCACCAACAGGTCTTCAATGCAGCGAGAAATTCCCGCACCCGGAGGCGTCCTTCAGCTGATGCAGTGATACAATCTATATATATATTTAGATTCTACCACTGCATCGAGTGTGATACGATATTTATCCACTCGAGACAGTTAAATATGTAAAATTTAACTGTCGAGAGTGGATAAATATCGTATTACACGAGATTTGGTAGTGGAATCTGTTTCTCTAATGATTTTCAAACAATACGCAGGCAAATTTATTGTGATCTTTCTATGTGACGTCATCAGGCATGGTCGTCTTTTTTCATGCCGTCACAATAGGAAATTCAGAGGAAAGCAAGAAAATTCGACGTCATAATCGGATTTTAACCAATGAAGAACTGAGATCAAACGAACCACACGTTGATTAAATTTTTTTATACAATTGGTGCAGAAAGGGATAAATTGACGAAGAATTAGAGAAAACCTTTTAAAAAATACCATTGAAAGTTTATACTGAGGTTAAAGATCAGCACATTTTTAGTGGGATGTTTCACCAATCATTCTAATGGTAAGATGAACAAGTATCAATTGTCTGTCATTGCTCGACAGATGTTCTTTTAAGTTTGACATCTAGTGGGGAAACCTAAAGGTCATACAAACCTGTTAAAGGTCAAACACATTAGTAGATATTTATTTATTATATAATATGAAACAAAGAACTGATTTATAAATTGCTTATCCTTTTTGACATTTTTGATGTGTTCAAAAATATTCATCTTTAGATCTGATGCCTAAATAGTACAGTTGCACTATTTGTCTTCTTTATAATTTTGTTTGTTTACGTCATCTGTGTTATTGGCAAATCATTACATAAAGTCACACCATCATCTTATTCTAGTTAAGACTCTTTTATCTATTTATTTCTTTGGAAGAAAACATGCTTTGCACTGTTTTTACTGTTGTTGAATAATTCCAAAGAATTATTTCCAAAGAATTATTTCAGTTGAACATACACAATGGTTCTTCCTATTTGTGCTTTTTATAATTTTTGCTTATTATTTTATCATGAAATCAACAGTTTTCAATTGCGAAATCTTTCTAATTGGAACTACATTTTGTATCTTTCATAGAGCTCTTAGAAAATAAACAAATGTTTGCATGATGGAAAACATTAGCATATGACCTTTTAACAATTACACATAATGGAACTTATGAAATCTTTTCATGAGGTAATTAAGTACAAGAGAAAGTTGAGGTGTTTTGTTTTATGTCCAGCTTATCAAATAGTTAATATAGGAATGTTATTTGAGAAATGCCAGTTATGACAAGCAGCAATCATAACATCATGAAAGTCAATAATTTTGTCACAGAACTGTGTCATAACAGGTTGACATTTATGAAGGACAAAAAGACATTTAAAAAAAAAATGTTAATGCTTTGTCAGAGATTATAATTTTAATGTAAATATATATATATATATAAAATGAATCCAAATCAAATGTCTTACTTGGCTAAAGTACTATTGCACTTTTAATTCTGTAAAATCCATGAAACATAAATATTGTTTTAAACAAAAATGATATCTTTTTATATTGAAGTATATTCATCATTTCAATTTGCAAAATGGAGGGAATTTGAAAGACTATTAATTATGGATCCAATCTGCCCCCAATTCTTACCTCATCTTACATGACATCTCTTGAAGAATAATTTCTTTATGTTTTGCACAGTAGTACCATTTAGAGATAGCAGTATTGTATTTGAAGATTTGTAAAAACAATTGGCAATTTGATTGTGGCAAATTGAGTTTACTGGCAATGTGTTATTGGAACAATGGCTTTTTACTATATTGTTATCTACATTCAAATCCAACTGAAAAGGAAACGCCAATAAATTATTTAGTTAAAATCAGTCTCTAATATCTGTGTTTAGGCCACACCAATTTGATTCCTAGTTCTTTGGATTTTCCCGCTCCTGTTTTGGAGAAATTGACTTTTCAATAATAAAAAAGATAATTACTGCATCCGCAAATTTTTGGTCCGCATGCCGCTCCAAAATTAGTTTCTCCTTGAAATTTTCTTTCACATGGATGCTTTATGTTGCATATAATGCTCCGATCATTTAAAACGCATGTGTGATAAATCGATTTGTAAATAAAAGGTCAAAAATTGGAATGCCAAAATGCATTGTGTCAGCTCATTGTCGTGGACAAGCTAGCAGTTTTTGAACACCCAGTTATCCAAAATGCTTCTCGTTTCACCTTTGAAGACCTGTTCTAGGATGCAAAAATTAAAACTCTTTCATTAGATGACCACAAACAAATCAATTTTTGTTAGAACCATGGTCATCCCCGATCCTTGTTTCAACAGGCATAGACCTATCTATCTTGGATGAAGTGAATTGTAAATTCCTATGAACTTTTTTAAAATTACAGAGGTATTTGATTTTGATGAACCCCCATTTCCCCTTGTTGATCTTTTGGCATGCAAGCAGAACTCTTCTTTTGTTAGGGGGAAGTTAAAGAGTTCCAACAAGACTAAGGTAATGGTACTGTGATTGGCATGCTCATAATAATTAGGGGTGTGTAATTGGTTCAACCACTTCTAGTCAAGCTAAAAAGTTTTAAATGCATTGCAGCTTTTAGGAGCTCAGTCAGAATAATGCATGGGAATGGGATGACAGGTATTTAAAGGGAATATTTTAATACATTGGGATCTACATGTATAGCTATATGACTGTTGTTTTAGTACAAGGAAAAAATATTCACCTCACTCATTATTTAGATTCTAAATATGGATAAATAGTTCCAACTGGATGTCACGCAGCCAATAAACAATCATTGCCATATAATGAAAACAACTTCAATCAAATATATCTCAGGGGCATTTTTTTGGGGATACATTTATATTATAATTTTATTCAACATTTGTCATTTACTTAACTAACATAATTCCTTTTGTAAAACTGCATCTGCTATGCTTCCTAAATATATACATGTATATGGATTTAAATGAAAATTCACTCAGACAAAGCTTACTTAAAGAAAATAACCAACTAAACCACAGTGAGACAAGAAAGTGGTATGGTACAGGCACCAATAAATCAAATTATATGCTTTTGAGCATCTGTTGCTTCTCGTTTTTCTATGAAGTAACCCAATTGCAACATGTACATAAATTGTATAAATTCTAAATCGCACAATTAAAAAAAAATATATACCGCTAGCTTCACTTATAGAGCACTCGCCTAAAAAAAAATCATTCTCAAGACAAAAATAATAAAAAAAAAAAATTTCGCTCACTCGCCCTGTTTGATTTTAAAGTATTTTTGGAGCTTTTGCCCGATTCTAGACATCAAATTGGTGTGGCCTTACATTCACAATTTGAGACCAACAGTTGTAGAGTTGCTGGACTGAAATTTGGGCCATTTTCTAATCAAAACGAAATTACAATCTAGTGTTGCATCAGAATGAGAATTTTTCTCTTTATATCCCTTTTTGTCAACTTTCTTAATTAAGTTAATTTTACAAGAGGGATTTGCGACTCTAATGTCACTGTAAAAATTATCAAAGGAGAAGGTCTGGTAAGGGCTAATTTTGGCCTAAAATTTGAAGTACATATAAAGAAAGATTTGTGACATTTTTTAAACACTTGCGTGTCTATATCAATGAGTTTATTTAGAAAATATTTTAACTGATTAAAGACACAAAAATTCAAGCTTAGATATGAAAAATCTATCAAATATATGCCATAAAATGTCACTTTTCAGATGGTTTTTGTCAAAAATGTAAGTGGCCACATTCTTGTTCAGTCTCAACCTTTATAATTTTATGTTATGTATTATCATCAAATACAACATATATTTAAATATTAAGACTGAACACAAGTGCGACCACTCCCATGATTATAGCATAACTCCGTCAAAAAATTAGCGCAAATGCTAAAATTGTGAAAATTTCAGTAATTTTGCATGAATCTGTGAGTGAATGATGCTAGTACCTGATGCATGTGTATTGTATTGTCAAAAACAGCCCTTCTACTTTCTATCAAATAGCTACAAAAAGTTTACATTTTTAACATATTTGTAAAAGTGCTATATTTTGGGGCCAGAAAGGGGTCTTAATGGGCCTACTCCTTTATCAAGTCATGGGAAATTGTGAAATATTGATTATGATTAACTTTGAGAATTTATTCAATGGTTTCAATCTAGTAGTAGTAGTAAGTCAAAATTAAAAAAAAGTGTATGATGGTATGAATGTAAGTTCAAATATTTTGAATAGCAGATAAAAATGTGAGATCAATTATTTCAATTTCAAAAAATATTGGCATGAAACAATGCTATCTTACTTAAAAAGCAGGTTTGGCACAGATTTCTCAAAATCTTTTTTAGCCCGGTGGTCCTTGAAGAAAATCTGCTGGTCCTCAAAAGTCTCATTATTATTTCTATTTGGTGCTCAAAACCTTGGGACTACCACTTTTCACGAACTCTGTTGACCAACCTATCCCATTGCAGTTTTCGTACAAATACAATGTATTAAAAACCTTGCAAAAATTTCTCAATTTAAAGTAAATTTTTGTTAAATAATTGAATGGATTGGTGTTATTTTAATAAGAGTCTGCAATTTAATTCCTGTTCGCATATTATATTTTCAGGTGGTATTGGCATACCTGGTGCTGTAGTTGGTATACTGGTTGGAGGTTTTATTTTGAAAAGATTCCAGCTTCATCCTAAAGGTAGGTCACGGTATTGTAATACTGTAAATATGTAGATTTAAAAAATTATGCTATTTCAAAGGCCAAACAGCCAGGTTTTATTTTCATGTTTTCTTGTGTATGATTCCTATCTCCATTTAAAGATCAAATTAAGTGTGAGAATTCTTTTTTTTTTTCATCTGGATTGAGAAATCAGTGAAAATAAACTTTGTGAAAATTTTGCACAGTTAAGTGTGATAATTTCAGACAAACATTTAGGATAAGTTAACCTCAATTGTTTATTTAGTAGATAAATTGAATCAGAACAAGATAATACATTTGTTCATTTGTTTTCTTTCAAGGTCAATCAAAAGTTGGTCTATAGCATGTATAGTGTGAGTTACTGGTAAATTCAAACAGTTTTTCAGTGTCTTTGTGAATAATTATGAGTTGTTTAGCAAGGTTGACATGACCTACTTTAGACCTAATTACAGAATAAGTAAAGTACACAGACCTACAAAAATAATTTCTGACACAGGTTCCAAAATGAAAAGTCTTAATGTTTTTTGGTCTGTGAGTCCGTTTGTTTGTCCGTTCATCCTTCTGTCCCAATTCAGGTTAAAAGTTTTTGGTCAAGGTAGTTTTTAATGAAGTTGAAGTCCAATCAACTTAAAACTTAGTACACATGTTCCCCATGATATGATCTTTCTAGTTTTAATGCCAAATTAGAGTTTTTACTCCAATTTCACCGTCCACTGAACATAGAAAAATAGTGTGAGTGGGGCATCCGTATACTATGGACACATTCTTGTTTTAAGAAGAAAAAGACATATAGCTATGACGCATACAGACAGAATCTTTACTATTTGATCTATTGATCTTACTTAAGCCACATCATTGTTTCTAAGTGGTACTTAAACATGTTAAATTTGATCTTGTCTGGACATCAGTTTGATAATTAGAGACATGACAGACAAACAAAGGATAAGTTAACCTCAGTTGTTTAGTTTGTCAATAAATTGATATCAGAACAAGATAACACAGTTGTTTAGATTAAGGTCAATCAAAAGTAGGTTTATTACTGGAAATTAGAATAGAATACTATTGTATATTCAGCAATTATTTCATGATCTTGATATTTTAGTTGTTTTATCAATTTACAAACAAATAATAATAAAAATAATAATAAATTCTTTATTTAAAGGGGGTAAACACAGTTAGTTACAATTACTAATCTTCCATGAGGCCCTCATAAATACAGTACTGCTATCAAAATTTAAACTATGAGTTTTAGTTAGTGCAAAACTTTTCCATTTAATTTTTTCATCGCAAAAACCTCAATCATGAAAATATTAAAATTTCTAAATTTTCAGTTTAAGTCCAGAAATTACTATAAGGTAATCATAAACCAACAATGTCAAAGGAAGACCCTCAAGACCATGGTCATAAGAATTTAGATAAAAATGCTCAAATTACAACACAACACAGGAAACGTATCAAAAACAAGGGGAAAATTTGTGTGCTATACAGAGGAAAAAAATTTCTTCTCCACCAGTGGCACCTGGCCTTGCGGTCATAAAACTTTCGAGGACGATTTTCGTACTCAGACTCGGAAATCAGCCAATCAAAATCATGGATTTGGTGTTTCGAGCACAAATTTTGTACTCCGAGTACTGAGTAAAGTTTTATGACCGAGCGCCCAGTTGTGCATTTGCGTTAAAAAAAATTGAGGATTATATTATAGGGGTTGAAAGTGTAAGAAACAAACATCTGTAATGTGTCTTTATTTTGAGAGATTTAATTTTGCAACTTTTGCCTATAGAGATGTAAAAATTGAGTCTTCCCTTTTATAAAGATCTCTAGAAAATTAAAATAATAAAGATAAATTGCTCTGAGCTCGGCCAGAAAGTGGTTAATACGAAAATACAGTATTTTGTTTAACAAATTTATTTTATTGTGTGTTTTTAGGTGCTATAAAGTTGGCATTGGTTGTTTACAGTATTTTGTTTAACAAATTTGTTTGTGTATTTTTAGGTGCTATAAAGTTGGCATTGGTGCTCGATGCTCTGGCTCTGTCCGGTTTTGTTTTGTTTATGGTGCTCGGTTGTGAAAATGTCAAGATGGCCGGGGCTACATTTCCATATCATGCTTATGTTAACAGGTATATATTTTAATGGTTATTGTAATCATCTTGATGTTTAAACACTTGAAAATGTAAATTGATATGCTCATAACTAAATTTAATATACAGTCATATGATGTATTTCACAAATAAACTAAAGTTTATCTACAATAAAATGAATACTGTGAAGGAAAATATAAATAGAAGTATCAAAAGAAGAAATGGTCAATAATCTATTTTAATCCTGTTATGGTTGTGGCCTGTTAACTGTTTTCTGCATGAATAGATATTTCGGATATCTGCCTGAACAGAGTGTGATACGATTATTGGTAGGGAAAATGTGTTACATTTTGCAATTTGGTTAACGTTGGCCTCTCTTGTAATAGGGTACGAAATTGCTGCATTTCCATTGGCTATTCATTAGATTAATGATGACTTTCGAAGGTCTTAACCGACTACTTTTCTTCTGTTGCAAAAGAGATATGTGATTTCTTCCATTACATTCAAAACACTCACATTTTTCACTTCAAAAACAATTTTTGAAATTTGATATCATTCTGAAGTGTATCCAAAAGCTTACAAAAATGTGATGTTTGATGCAGCCGGAAGCATGCCAAAGTCGAAATTTTCTATTTAACACAAAGAGATTTGATCATAAGAGAAATAGGTTCAAGGATGGAATTATCTTTTAGCTTTATACATTAGTCAGGTAATACATATAATTATGATGACACATACATCTTGTACATGAAAATACAGGACGCAAGCCTTGTTAAAAAACCGATACATTCATATAGAATTTCATGTTTCAGTTATAACCCCTGATACTACTGATGTAGTTCTATGTCTCAAAATTAATTAAATATCTATTCCTTAGAGTACACATACAAAATGACTTTTTACACTTAACAAAATTAATGGATGCAAATTTTGAATAAAGATCAAATTTAATCTACTTGAAAAATCAATAATAGATTAGTGCATATTTTCAGTCATAAGAATGTGCAATAAGTATTTCGTAATGCCATCTGTACAACGTTGCAAAAGCAATGATTCATTTCAATTAAAAACATCTTTTGAATGCATGGATCATAGTCAGTCTTAGTCGGATATATGATTTGTTGATAATTGAATAGCAGCGACCTGGAATAATTGTTACATAATTAAAAATGACAGTAATGAAATCGTGATGACTACATACTAGCAAGGAGATAATTGATTTGGGAAGGAGAAGCCTGCAAAGATTCTGTAAATTATTCTTATCCTGATTTTTTTTCAAGTACATTTAATAGATAATTTGATTCTGGCATTGAAGAAAAAGATTATTTATTGGCCTAATACTCTTAAAAAAAAATTGCAAAAACTTCAAAAATCACATTTTTCAAAATGACATATTTCATATGGTGAGCAATTTGTACTTCTATTAAAGAGCCTCTAGTGTTTTAAATAAATGCCTCTAAGTGGAATAGAAACTACTATATAAAAGAATATTGACACTTTTTAAAATGTATTAATTAAAAAAAATAATATATTTGTATTTTTTCAGTACTGATTTCGATGATTATGGTTTTGACCTAGATAATGCTGAAGCGAACCTGACATCTACATGTAACATGAACTGTGATTGTTCCCAGAGAGAATCACAACCTATTTGTGGTATCAATGGCATTACATACTTCTCTCCCTGTCATGCTGGATGTACAAGGTTCTACAGCTACATTACACCAGAGGAAAAACTCATGGTAGGGCTCTTAATGGGAACATTTATATATCTTTACCAATAATAAGTATTCTATTGAATGTGAATAATTCTTGCTGTCCCAGTAAAAAATTATGTTACTTTTTTTATGCCCTCGCCATCACCAGAGGGGATATTAAGTGTTACCCTTAGCTGTATGTGCAAGTATGCATCCATCCATCCGTACGTACGTCCTGAAATTGGTTTCTGTTCTCTAACTTTTGTTTGCCTCAACAATATTATGAAACTTATACACAATGCTTACTTCCACAAAAAACTAATCAAGTTCGAATTTTGGTGGCGTCACTTTTACCGTTCTGGAGTTATGGCCCTGTATAACATTATATGCAATCATCTGTTTCCCATGGACACTTCTCAATTTAATTACTTTTCTATACAAAAAATCTGCAAGAGTGCTAGACCAGAAATTGATAGAAGCAAATAAATGCTCGTTGTAAGGATCATGTCAATAGAAGCAATTAATGTATTCTATGGACCATATCTAAACTTAAAAACTGGGATGAATTTAAGTTAAAACTTGTTAAGCGAAAAAAAAAATATGGTTTTCAAGTCAGTTGACCTTGTTATAGCCATAGAAATTATGAAGTTATATGATGATTGGGTAAAAATGTATTTGTACCATCTTAGAAAAAACATCTAAATGCCCTCTCGGGTATTAAAGGATGCTATTGAAAGCAGCAAAATCTATATTACTGATGTAGTTTACTCAATTTACAAAAAGAATAATATTTGATTTTAGCATTTTAAACTTTCCTATTTTTCAGAATTTCAGTGGCTGTACCTGTATCATGGATAATCCCATATCCCCAGAGGTCATTGTGTCACCCGTGGCAACCAATGGTCCATGTAAATCAACATGTCATAATCTTTATCCATTCCTCTTTCTACTTGTGGTTGTGACCTTCACTGTGGCTGGTACACAGATGCCTTTGTTAATGGTGACCTTGAGGTAAGAGTTATCTACCCTTGAATAAGTTATTGTAGATAGCCTGTGTATAATCTGTGGTTCTGTCTGGGTCCTCCACCAATAAAAATTGGCCACTATGGCATAGTTAAGGTAGGGGCATTTAGCTACATCAATCAGACAAACAAACTTAATATAGTGCAGTTAGCATTGAATAATGTTTAAAAAACATAAAAAAGAGGTTTGGGTTTACATCATTGAGATTGCAACCCAAAGAAACTTGTATTAAATAGATATCAAGTATTTATTTTCATCATCAAAACTAATTTTCTATACATTATGTCAAGCATTAAATCAACCAGAACTGACAAAATAACATTGACAGTACCTATTGTACTGCACCAGATTTGCAATTCTACAATTGATCTTTCAGTTGTGCTCGAGGTCAAAATATTTGAAAATCCAAAACATAATACAATTTTTTAAGAGCTGCAAAAAACAAAGTAAAGCCAAACCAGAAAAAGAATCAGAGATATGCATGAGGGTGACACACTCCGTCATTTTAAATGATTTATAAAAAAGTTAAAAGCAGTAAATTTCAATTGAACTACATATGTATTTCTGTGAATAATACTGTGGATTCATTATTATTCGTTGGATACCAATTTTCGTGGGTTTCGTGGGTACAGGTGAACCATGAATTCAAATGTTCGAGGAATTAAAACTTTCTATAGGCTTTGTATGCAGATATTGGCATAACCACGAAATCAAATATCCAAGAAAATGCTAATTTTCCTCAATCCAGGAAAATTGATACCCACAAAAATAAATGAATCCACAGTAAATGAAAAAGCTTTTGAATAAATTAAACATATAACATTTACTTTCAGTGAAGCACTCTTAACATTTTCACCAAATCTACACAGAAGACTCTATCTGAGGTGGAAATCAAATCTACCTCTTCATATAAAATATCTTGTTAACTCCCCCCCCTCTTTTCATCATTATTTAACCATAATTATAAGCAGTTGTTAGGTGTGCAAAAATTGACAAGTGTTTTTCAAAACATTGTGTGTTTAATCCATATTGAGGGTCCAAAATATAGGCATTTTGTTATTGATCTATAGTTATATTGTTATGAATGCTGGTCATAAGATTTTAAAGAAATAATTGTTTTACTTCCAAAAGAAAGATGAAATAGTATAAAACAATGACAAAAAATCCCCTCTGACCCCTCATAGTTTGAAAAGTTGACACTAATGTGTATTGACACTGATGTGTGCATGGTACTGTATGCCTTTGCCTTAATATATTTACTTTTTAGGTCTGTTCATGAAGAAGAGAAGAGTTTCGCTTTGGGCTTACAGTTTGTGATATTGAGACTGTTTGGTAAGTTTTAAACAGATTTAAGTTTTGTTTTTATACATAAATCAGGTAGCTTTTTTTTTTAAAAGGTAACTAGATATTTACTAATTCACATAGCCGGGATACAAGGTTGAATGCTGTACATCAAGTAATTTGTTAAACAGCAATTTGTGCAATAAAGAAATTTTATAAGTGTTACCAAAAATTGAAAAGTAGTTGTACCCTATGGCAAGCCTTAAATTTTATTTTTTTCTGTTTCAGTCTATATTTCAGCTCTTATTATGTTTGGTAATACAATAGAAACCTCATTTTAAAAATAAGGAGTTGTGGAATGATTGCCAATGAGACAATTATCCATCAGAGTTTAAACGACGAGGGAAACGCATCAACAATAAGAGGAAAACAAAGGAACAACAGAACACTGAACTACATCATTTTTATACGACCGCAAAAAAATTTTTGTGGTTTAACCATGACAAGAATATTAAAATGGAATTGTGTTTGTAATGGTGTTATTATTTATATTTTCTAACCATGTTCTTCTGAGAACGGAAACAATTCAAACAAGAAAACTAACGGCCTAATATATACAAATGAATAAGTTGAAGAGGCCGCATGTTTTGTTTGGGATTAGAAGTTAAATGTTGTTATTTCTATTTCAGCCTATATTCCAGCTCCTATCATGTTTGGTAATACAATAGATACCTCGTGTCTGGTTTGGAATACCAAGTGCGGAAATCATGGTTCATGTCTGTTGTATGATATTGTACAGTTTAGATATAAATATGTTGGTATGTAATTATATATAATCTTAAAATGTAAAAAAAAAAAAAAAAGCACTAGATGAAGATGTAATGATATAAGTTTAATATGAGGACAAAATCCTCAATAACAGTAAGAAAATCGATCAGAAGAAAAAATGATTGATCTAATAATTAAATGATAATTAGAGAAGCAGACTAAGTAAGGGAGATCAATCATTTTAGTCCTCAATAACTAAGAAAATCGATCAGAAGAAAAAAATGATTGATCTAATAATTAAATGATAATTAGAGAAGCAGACTAAGTAAGGGAGATCAATCATTTCTCTATTTCTTAAAACTGCATTAAAACTGGTTTTGACCAGTCAGATTAATGTTTTGATTAAAATTGTAGGTAGTCATTTGCGGTCAATATTATTGGAACATTAAACTCACAGTATTTCATTAAGTCAGACTCCACCATATTATCCCATCTATTCTGATATTTATCAATTCTTAAAAAAAATTAATCTTCCACTTTGCCCATTAATAATGATACTAAAACAATATTGATACGAAAAATTTTGAAATTTAAACGGTCTTATAAGTGGATCATTGTCAATGAACATGATATATAACATGTGCAAGGATCCGGAAATTTTTCCACACAATTTCGGTCATTTTGAGATGATTGAAAAGTTGGTGCCCCTTTCCAAATTGTTGATGTCAACTTAACTAGATTCATAGCATCAACGAACTTGTATTGCTGTTTCATCGCATTTACTAAGTAAATGTCTTACCATTACCATGAAGAACAGTTAAGGGAAGTCAATAGTTTAAAATTGAAATGATTTTAATGACTCAAAATGGTAAATCTCTCAGACATTGCTTACGTTTCTTTCGATTTGACAAAAGTTAAAACCGGAAGATGCGATAAAGTTAAAATACGAATAATTCCGGATTCATTTCCAGGATTTGTTTTGTTTATCAAATTGACAGGAAATCACCGGCTTTTTTTTATTTTATTACCTTTAAAAGTGTTTGAATGTAACAGACAATAGTTGCACTCGTTTAATTTGGCATTACATTTGCATTTTATGATTAAATATTAAATTTGCTGAAGACAATTTCACGCATGCGTATTATATAGTAAATAAAGCACATGAAAAAAAATACTTTTTCTCCGTAAATTTAGGTTTAATTTTTAAATCAGATTTGATGATTGTCTTTGCTGAAAAGTAATTAAATAATGAATACACGTGTCAGGGAATTTCAATTTTTGTTAAGATATTATTCTGAGCTTGTGATCACTGTCAGGTGTGAATATTAAAACCACAGGTAAAAAGTGATTAGCGATCATAAGCCAATGTTTCCCGGAGGCATTGATATAGATATTAGTAGGGCCCTCAGAATTATCAAACTACTGGAGTGGCAGTTTTATTACAGGAAAGGGATTATAAACAAAAACAAGTGATTACAACTTACACAAGACAGTGCAAAATGGCGAATAAGGAATCCGATTTCAAACATTGAGTCAATGAAATGACCGAAATTACTTCTTTAAAAAAATAAAATTTGTCCTAAATCCCAATTTCTCGTTTAGGACAAATAGTTTCATCTTAGGACATGACTGGCATATATGACCATTTCCGGACCCTTGAACATGTGTATTTATAAGGAAATATAGCACATTAAACATGAAAATGCTGTGTTCTGATTTTAAGTTTTATCTTTTATCCTCTGTTTGTTTACAGGTGTTTCAGCTGGTCTGAAGTGTTTAGGTGCTATATTATTTTTCTCTGTATGGATACTAATGTATATAAGAGACAAAGAGGACACAGGAACCATCACAGTAGGTTTTATTTACTTTTAACCAACTTATTTTCATTAGATATTATTTTTTGTGTTTTGCCTATTCTAGCTGATTTGACATTGATTTTGAAACTTTGTTGATGTATTGATAAAAAAAAAAAAAAAAAACATCCAAGTTTCACATATTTGGAATGTTTATTTTCACGTTTTTCTGGATGCAAAAGGTTTCTTTACCTCCTGAATCAATATGTGGAGACAAAAGCATACTAAAAGGTTTCTTTATATTATGAACATATAGGAGCCTGTTGTTCAGTGGTTGTCGTTCGTTGGTCTTGTTCATATAGGTGTTTCTCATTTTTATATAGATTAGACCGTTGGTTTTCCTGTTTGAATTGTTTTACACTAGTCATTTTGGGGCCCTTTATAGCTTGCTGTTGGGTGTGAGCCAAGGCTCTGTGTTGAAGGCTGTACTTTGACCTATAATTGTTAACTTTTTATACATTGTGACTTGGATGGAGAGTTGTCTCATTGGCACTCATACTACATCTTCTTATTTATATACAAAACTTTTTGAGGGTCTTCAGGATTTAGGAAACTTATAATAAATATAAATTGGCAATATGATGTCATTGAAACTCTAATTCTACAAAAATTCGGATAAACTACTGAAAAGTTTTTATAAAACCCTAGAGATTTCAGTATTTACAAAATATATATTTTTTATTTATTCAGGTGAGAGATATTTTTAATTCTATGTCCTCAGTAGAAAGGATGGATTTGGATTATGACCAAAGACACTACAAACATCCAAAAGACAAGCATAGTGAAGTCAAACATTCAGGTGATGGTGAATCTGACAAGCAGTTCAGTGAACGAGATCAGTGGAACAGGAAGTTGAAATATCGCCACAAGAGTTCTGAAGCAGGAGATCTTGTTCCTTGTGAGCCAACTGTCTTATCATCAATGCTTGATACGGAGTCTGCAGTGTGATATACAGGACTTTCAGATCCTATTCTTTCTTAAGTGCTTGTGTATATATTTGGGTTAAATAATTGTTAAAGTGAAAATGATGTTTTGTTTTTTGCAGTTTATTTATGTTACTTTGTCAAATTGTGTACAAAGTTACTTTTTGGTGGGTGCCTTTCTCTTGTGAAGATCAAATTAACTAAAAATTTTAATACCGAAAAAAACAAATGTAAATTATGCAGCAAGTCATGATACTTTTATAATTTTTTTTTACTGCTTTGATGAATATCGCAAAGTATGAGTAAGATGATATTTTAGTTATAGTGCAACTTTGGTTTGATTATTGTGTACTGGTTCATAATACCCCCCCCCCCCCCCCCCCCTGTTTTTAATAGACTTAATAAATGCTATTCCTTATCCTAGAACGAAAAAAAATTCCTCTGAGAGTTGACATATATATCCCTTATTCTCAAACTGTTCACCCAACAGAATTATTTGTGACAAAATTAATAGATATAATAATGTAGTTGTTTCTAATATTTTTTATCATTGTTTGTTTTGAAGGAGACCGAGTAAAAATTTTTGCAAGCATTTTTGTTCATTTTTTAAAGAGTGCAGAATATTCTGTCTCCCATCCCACCTCATTCACTTTTATAAGAGTCGAACATCTTTATAAAAAATGCAGAAATTGTAGAATTTCATTGGTTTTGATATGAGTTATTGTAATGTAAAATTGCTTTGAGAGTGAAATGGACTAGTTCAAAAATAGTGCTTCAAAACAGGAATGTCATTGTCTCTCTCATTTCGGCTTTGGCCTTAACCAATAATAGTTTGTTTAGAGTAACCCAACTCTCCCCAAATATAGTTCGTATCCAAGCTGCTTTATTGCCTTTCTTCAACAATCACTATTTAAGTCGGACCTTATCTCCAATACATCCCTTTTACCAACAAAAAACACAAATAATCCTACCAATATTTATTTATCTAAAATAAAATTCACTATTATAGTTAAAATTTTCATTTTGAAATAGCATATTTTGCTGAAACAGAGAACATCAGTTATAAGAATTGTATTTGAATAGGACCTCTGTAAAATTAATTTCTGATAGAATTACAGTTAAAAGATATAAGTTAATATAACCCAGATGCTAAAATACTCTTCAAGAGATCATTAGCGAAGTTGAATTCTTAATTGTTTATTTGAAAAGGTACTTAGCAAGTTGATATGTGAAAATATTTTTATGTTCTTTATTGTAATAAGTTGTTGCACAATATCAATGCAAGAGATGTTATTTAATTGTTGTTAGAATCAAATATTAGCCAAAATATGTATCAGTATTGGTAATGATATATTTGTATTTATATTGCCTCGGTTACTGTTTATGCTATGATAATTTTTGTAGCGATTTTGTAAAAGTTTCATATCGTTCCATATGAAGTCCTATGGGGATGTTGGTTAAAATCAGTCAGTTACTTACCAGTACATTTGCAACATGCATTGCCACGTTTACACCTTACACACAGTTTCTCTACATGCCTTCCTAACAAACTACAGACAAATAAAAGCGTAATCTGGAAACGTCCACTTTTCACGGTCATAACCGTCATCTGTGCTGGTATTAAAAAAAGAAATCAAATCCTCAATTTTTGCATTATTTTCAAGAAAGTAGGGATGGTGAGGTGTGTTCAATGCTAATTTTGATAAACAAGAATTGTCAGTTTTCCTTTTGATGTCAGTGGTTCTCTTCAATTTCCTGGCTCCCTCCACCAAAAAAACAATGGTTGCCATGATATGGCAGTCACTGAAAGGGGCATCAAACACTGTCAAACAATCAAGAAAGTAGGATTGAATCTTGAACTGATCAAACTTCTGCTGCTGGGGTTTTTGAATTGGTCGCATCCAAGTACATTATTCAAACTCTGACATTCAAGCATAAGCTAAACCATTTCCACTTGTTCAAGATATTTGAGTTGATGAGCATGGTACCCAAAAAAGCAAAATGTATGGTATTTTACCAAGAACAGAAGACTTGAATTGCCTTTTATTTACATTAACAGTCAGTTAACACCACATGGGTGTTTTCTGAATTATCAAAGATTTAACAATGTTTCCATAGAAAGATATTTTTTGTAAAACAGTTTTATACCATAATAATATAAATGTTAAAGCAACAAAAATTGAGCAGAAGCAGTTGTTGTATGGTAAATTTATATTGCCTTTTTTTGTAAATATTGTGTTCAAATCCATTTCTGGTCAGTTTTTTTTTTTTGAACAAAATGCATTTTTTTTGGCCAAGTCTAGTCATAGAAGCAAACCTGTGTTCATATATTAGTCAGCAGTACAGCTATTACAGAGATTTTGCATTCAGCATCTTCAAAATGTTATAAATATGTGTTCATGTATAGTAGTTTTTTGGTGGAATGAATAATAATATACATTTTTGTACTTAAAAATCATTTTGAAACTAGAGTATAATGTACCTTTAAATTTATGATATCCTTTGACATTTTAGGGCTGTTCCGAAAATGATTGTGGTGGGGGGCATGGGAAATATGTACAAATTATAAATAAAATAAAATTCTATATATGAGTGGTTGGGCTCTGAATAAAGTGCCTCCCGCATTCTTCCCCTCCTATGCCCCTCCCATCCCCTCCCATGCATCTAATTCTGGAACAGCCCATAGTAATTTTCATAAGTTGTTGCTATTTGTTTTTGTTGTCTTTCATCAGACTGTGGATCATTGTGAAAAAACAGCATTATATAGGTTAATATATCAATTTGTTATTGATTTTTATAAATTTGATATTCAGAATCTATTGGAGGTAGTTTCTTTATAAATAATTGTAAATAATATCTCACCATCAGCTTGTTGAAATTGTCATCTTTATAACTAATTAGATTCTGAACAGCAAGTAGTTATCACATTAAATTGGTCGGAAGACACAGTTATCATCCTTTGATTTTTGTAGTCCCTAGTGTGGACTGTATATAACTTGCAAATTTTTTTCATACACTTTCTCAATTCATTTCTTGTATTTTATGCTTGAAATATAAAGTATGGGGATGAAATTACATGTTTAAAAAAATTGGGCTCTGATTTTTTTTTTTTTTATGTTGAGCAGTGATTGGGTCCAGTTAAAAAAGTAAAAAAATAGTATGTCTGAAGCTGTCAAACTGAATTTTAGACCCCCTTAAAATAGAATTGTTCATATTTTGAGTTAGAGCTGGTAGAATTTTCTATAATTTTGATAATATTTGTCCCAATAGTAGTACACTACACTGTAAAAATCTTTTTGAGATTGAGCAAGTGTGATTTTTTTAATTTGAATTTATTGTCTAAAAGAAGAGCACTACAAAATAACTGTGTTCTCGGGCCAATTGTTAGATCATTTCCTAATGTTGCTAAACAGTTTTGCACAAAATGGTTGACAGGAAGTTATCATTTGCCTATAATAACTGAAAAAATAATTGTTTGTTTGTTCTTTAAAATGTTTTATTAATACCTTAAAGAAATGTAGGCTTGAAAGCACTTACAATGCAATTTTCCATAAAATTAATATTTACAAGGGGCACAACTCTTTTAGAAATAGTTGATTTTAGCAATGCATCACATGGGGGACAAAATGTTCCTGTTGAGAATGAAGTGAATAAATTTAACAGAGACTGAAAGATCTGCCAATAGCACAATACATTTTTGTGTTTCCTAAGTTTAAATTGAGTTTTGCCATTTAATAAATGGCAGCAGTGGTGATGTCTTTAGTTGAACATACTCACTCCCATTTAAGTTATCAATACATGTACTTGTTGTGTAATGCAATGTAAAATTCCATCCAAATGTTTGTATATTTTTGTACAATGTATGATATTTGATAAATTTTGTGTATGGTTTCTGGATGTGATCATTTTTAAACCACATTTTTGTACATTTAAACTTTTTCATATTGCCACCAATTATCTGTGGATTTCACAAAGAAATATTGAATTTGTTTGAACTTGAACATTTAAATATAAACATAAACATTTTGGAACTTTGAAATATGCAGATATGATTGTATACACACACCTTATTTTGACATGACAAGAGAAAATGTCTGATGCCACGTAGCAAAATCCTTTGTATTATGACATCAATAGTTCAAATGTCAAATGAAGTCATTAAAAATGGACATATTTATACTAATTTTATATATCCAGAGTTAAAGTGAACAAAATGTTATATAGTGTCATTGTCTCATCTTTTTACAGATTTGAAATACTCACATTTTATTCATTGTGTTCAAATTGTTTGTTAATTATGTCACTATTTATGTTCATTGTTTTTTTATGAAAATTTGTCATTTTCCAGAATTACCAAGAAGTGCTTACTTTATCATTCATAGTTTTTGTCGAGCCTGCGACTTTTGTCGCAGAAAGCTCGACATAGGGATAGTGATCCTACGGCGGCGGCGTTAGCTAACTTCTTAAAAGCTTTATATTTAAGAAGGTGGAAGACCTGGATGCTTCATACTTTGTATATGGATGCCTCATGTTACAAAGTTTCCGTCAGTCACATGTCCAATGTCCTTGACCTCATTTTCATGGTTCAGTGACTACTTGAAAAAAAAGAAGATTTTTTGAAATGTTAAATTCTCTCTTATTATAAGTAATAGGATAACTATATTTGGTATGTGCGTACCTTGCAAGGTCCTCATGCCTGTCAGACAGTTTTCACTTGACCTCGACCTCATTTCATGGATCAGTGAACAAGGTTAAGTTTTGGTGGTCAAGTCCATATCTCAGATACTATAAGCAATAGGTCTAGTATATTCGGTGTATGGAAGGACTGTAAGGTGTACATGTCCAACTGGCAGGTGTCATCTGACCTTGACCTCATTTTCATGGTTCAGTGGTTATAGTTAAGTTTTTGTGTTTTGGTCTGTTTTTCTTATACTGTATGCAATAGGTCTACTATATTTGGTGTATGGAATGATTGTAAGGTGTACATGTCTAGCTGGCAGGTGTCATCTGACCTTGACCTCATTTTCATGGTTCAGTGGTTATAGTTTAGTTTTTGTGTTTTGGTCCGTTTTTCTTATACTTTATGCAATAGGTCTTCTATATTTGGTGTATGGAATGATTGTAAGGTGTACATGTCCAACTGGCAGGTGTCATCTGACTTTGACCTCATTTTCATGGTTCAGTGGTCAAAGTTAAGTTTTTGAGTTTTGGTCTTTTTTCTTATACTATATGCAATAAGTCAACTATATTTGGTGTATGGAAATATTCTATGATGTACATGTCAGTCTCGCAGGTTTTAGTTGACCTTGACCTCATTTTCACGGTTCATTGCTCAGTGTTAAGTTTATGTGTTTCAGTCTGTTTTTCTTAAACTATAAGCAATAGGTCAGCTATATTTGTTGTATGGAAGGATTGTAAGCTGTTCATGTCTACCTTGCATGGTTCATCTGACCTTGACCTCATTTTCACGATTCATTGGTCAATGTTTAGTTTTCTTGGTTAAGTCTCAGTTTCTTAGAAACTATAAGCAATAGGTCAACTATATTTAGTGTATTGAATAATTGTAAGGTGTACATGTATTTCTCGTTTGGTTTATATGACCTTGACTTCATTTTCTTGGATCATGTTAAGTTTATGTAATAGTTGTAGTAAAGCTTTCATTTAGGACTATCCACATAATATAAATGGTTAGTAAAGAAGGCGAGACATTTCAGCGTGTGCACTCTTGTTGTACAAATAAAATGTATAAATGACCACATTCTTGCCAATGTTACAATACAGTATAAAAATGTAGCTTTTGTAATAGAAGTTTTATATCCCACAGTTTAAAGTGAAATATATTCAAACCAAACCTCAAGTTGGATATCTTAATGAACACAGGATGATTTTACAATATCTAGGGTTTTTTTGTGTGAATATTTTTTTGTCTTTTTTTTCAATTTTATATACAATTATTAGTTTTATGTACAATGAAATTTTTCAGTGTTCCTTCTTTTTCTGTACCTAGATATTGAGATAGGGTACAAAATCAGAAATTGAGCACATGTTGTGAAAATCCATATCAGGCCAAAAACAATTATACATGTAGTTGTGTTTCCTGCCTCCCTACTTATCTTAAATTTGTCATGCCTACCCTAGTACATTTAGTTAACATTTCTGATTAAGCATCGTTAAAAGCCCCACACATTTTTGGTAAAGCACAATTTAAATTCACCACATTTCCTAATATAGTCTGTAAAATATCTAGAAATATTAAATCATTTTACCTACCCTACTTTTTCTGCCAAAAGGCAGGAACACTAATATTTTTTTGGACCTTGTACAACTACCAAAGTGAACGTGTTTTCTTCTTGTTGCAATTTTCAAATTTCTATTCAGTTACAGAATTGACTAAATGCATTCTAGGAGTTATTTTTAAAGCATTCTGGGAGTTATTTTAAAAAGCATTCTGGGAGTTATTTTTAAAGGCATTCTAGGAGTTATTTTCAAAAGCATTCATAAGTACTTTGTGATTGGTTTACATCGTTATAAACATCAGATATAGTTGGTCAATGGAATGACATTATTTTCATGTTGATTAAATTAGCAATAGTCCTTAAGACTTCAAAACAGTAGTTTGATATTGGGTACTGTCTCAATGAATTATTCATATTATTTTTCTTGGTTATAATTAGGATTTTCTCCTCTTTTTAGTCTACAAATTTAGAATTTGATAAATGATCAAAAGTTTGTATTTTATTGACCCAACCATTTCTGTTTCCTTGCTATTTGCAAATATTATAATTTATTGTTTCTTTTTGTTTCTTAGGAATAAAAAACTTATCACTTTCATTCTTCAATACAAATGACTTAGAAATAACTTTCTCAAAACATCATCAGTTTTATTGATATGATTTCATCTTTGAGACAGTCCAGAAGTTTTTTTTTTTTTATATGGACAGATTGTAAATATGTTTATTTTGGTTGCTATTTGTTATATTGTATAGATATTGTGATACTAAATTCAGGGTTTTGTTGATGAAGAGATTCCTTAAGTGATCACAGCACATTCCTACATCAGTGATATTTTAGACCGGGAACCAGTTCATATTTTGTCTACCAATTAAATTGTGGATACATTTGTGAAATACCTAAAATGCTAACTGCTGTCAAATTATAACATTTTATTCTAATTGGGTGTAGGTTGCTTGGGTAATAAATTTATCCTTGGATAAAAAAAATGAATAAGAATAACATTCATTTGTGATGAGAATAATTCCACTTTTTAAACTTTGTATCACTAGCGGATCCAGGATTTTCAGTAAAGGGGACCAAACAAGAAAAATCAGACAATTCTACCAAAAAAAAAAAAATTCGCATTACAATGATGGAACCTTCTTCCACAGATATGTTTTAAGTTTATTGTATATTTGCCTTTTAGAGAAGTATGAATCAGTAGAATGATGCTGTGTGAATCAAGGCCTTCATCCTTCCATTGTATTATGTCACTTGTTATATTATATGGCATCATGTGATATGTGTATGCCACAATTATATATATAAAAAAATGTCTTTGTACGTTAGTCGTTTTTTGTCTCCCCGCAACAAAGTAATTGAGACGAGACTTAGGCATCTTGTTTCTGGTGTGACTTGTGTCAACAATGGTTAACATTTGTGATAAGGTCAGTTTAAGAGGAATGACTTTAGGTAAGACCATGATTTTTGGTATGCTGTTGTATTAGTATTGGCACATCTCATTTCCATGGAGATTATTTGGCCCCACCTCCTTATTCATGGTTCGTTGACTTTGAATAAGTTTTAAAATTTGAAAACATATACTATCTAAATTGCACACAAGCAAGACATATCTAACAATGTGTCACAATTTAATTATAGGAGAAACAATATGATGCAGTCAGATGTCATGAATGGAAAAGGAAAGATTAGATTGATTTTTGGTGTTTAATGCCACTTTCAACTCTTGGCTATTTTGTGGTGGTCAGTATTTATTGGTGGAGGAAGGTGGAGAGAACCACCAACACAAAGAAAATCAACTCTATTAAAGTCTTACATGCATGATTTTTTATGCCCCGCCACAAAATGTCGAGGGGCATATTAATTTTGTCCGTTCGTCAGTCTGTATATGGATACATGGTTTGTCCAGCTGTCTCCTCCATTACAGTTTTTTAGCTACAGAAATATTTTGTAGGATGTTTCTACACATGATATAGGTGTGCATGTTCACAGGATTTTGATTTTTTTCAAATATTCTCAAAATGTCGGGTATTTGGACTTAGTCATTTTTTGGTGCCAGCTGCATAAAGAGATCATGGTTTTTCCAGCTGTCTCCTCCTAGTTTTTGAGCTACAGTTTTTTATATGACCGCAAACAAATTTTGGGGTCGTATATTGGTATGACGTTGGCGTCGATGTCGTCTGAAGACACATTGGTTTTCGCACTCTAACTTTAGTTTAAGTGAATGGATCTCTATGAAATTTTACCATAAGGTTCAATACCACTAAAGGAAGGTTGGGATTGATTTTGGGGGTTATGGTACCAACAGTTAAGGAATTAGGGGCCAAAAATAAGCATTTTCTAGTTTCCAGACAATAACTTGTGGAACGGTGTATGGATCTCTCTGAAATTATACCACAAGTTTCCATACCACAAAGGGATGGTTAGGATTTGTTTTGGGTGGGTTATGGCTCAAACCGTTTAGGAATTAGGGGCAAAAAAGGGGGAAAAACAAGGTTGTCCTGGTTAATGGACAAATACTTTAGTACAAAACATAATTTAAAGCAGTGTAAGGGAGATAAATCAAATACAATATTTGAATTACCTCCCTTACACTGCTTTTAAATTATGTGTAAAGTAATGGTTAATGAACAATTAAGACAATTTAAAAACAGTGTAAGGGAGGTAATCCAAATACAACATTTTGATTAATTCCCTTACACTGTTTTTAATTTGATTTTGATTTTTGGTGTTTTAACGCCACTTTTAAGCACCACTTTTGGGCTTTTTCGTGGCGGCCAGTTTTTATTGGTGGAGGAAGCCGGAGTGCCCGGAGAAAACCACCGACCTTCGATAGGAAAACTGACAATCCTAGTCAATTAAGATTGGAGTCAAGTGCACCCCCATGAGTGGGGTTCGAACTCACAACCTCAGTGTTGACTGGCTAGTGATTACAGTAGTAACTACTTCGGCCACCGAGGCCCCTACACTGCTTTTAAATTATGTTTAAAGAAATGCATATTTATAAAGGAAGACCAGTAAAAATATCTGCAAATGTTGCATTTTTTTTTTTTTACAAAAAAATCCATATGAAAGATTTGACACCATATTTTAAATTCTATTATAAAAAAGATTAAGTTAGCACTATGGTAAATTTAAATGGGTAATTGGAAATTTGAATTGCGATTATGACCATATCTTGAGGGAAAGAATTTTTTAGGGGAAAAGGGGGGGGGGGGGGGGGGGGGGTAAAAAGAAATTGTGGGGGGTCAATTTTTTCTCATTTCAGATTTCAGAAATTAAAAAGAATTATTCTTCAAATATTATTTTTTTTTCAAATTTCAAGAAGTTATCTTTAATTGCACAGTATGGCGCATTAGATTTGTAAAATCTTTGACCACTTTTATTTATTTGTTATGCCAAATCTAACCGTGTATTTAGATTTTGAATTTTGGGTCCAGTTTTCAAATTGGTCTACATTAAGGTCCAAAGGGTCCAAAATTAAACTTAGTTTGATTTTAACAAAAATTGAATTCTTGGAGTTCTTTGATATGCTGAATCTAAACATGTATTTAGATTGTTGATTTTGGGCCCAGTTTTCAAGTGGGTCCAAATTGGGGTCCAAAATTAAACTTTGTTTGATTTCATCAAAAATTGAATTCTTTGGATTCTTTGATGTGCTGCATCTAACCATGTATTTAGATTTTGGATATTGGACCATAATAGGTAAATTAAAAATTTTTAAGTTCTTAGACCACATTCATTCTGTGTCAGAAACCTATGCTGTGTCAAATATTTAATCACAATCCAAATTCAGAGCTGTATCAAGCTTGAATGTTGTGTCCATACTTGCCCCAACTGTTCAGGGTTCGACCTCTGCGGTCGTATCAAGCTGCGCCCAGTGGAGCATTTTATTTTTTTTGTACTAATAGTTGGAAAGGGTGAATTTTAGATATTCACAACAAGAGTGCACACACTGAAAAATCTCGCCTGTTTTCTTATCATTGAAATTATGTTGACAGTCTGTAACATGAAGGTTTTACTACATTATCACATAAACTTAACATTATCAATATTGTATGATAATGAAGTCATGGTCAGATAAAACAGGCCAGACAGAAGTGTGTACACCTTACAATCGTTCCATACATCACATATAGTTGACCTGTTGCTTATAGTATCTGATAAACTGACAAAATTACAAAACTTATCATTGACCAATGAACCATGAAAATGATATCTAGGTCATATAATACCTGCCAGACAGACATGTACACCTTACAATTGTTCCAGACATCAAACAGCTGACCTATTGCTATTAGTATTTGAAAAATCAACCAGAACACAAAAACCTTACATTGACCAATGAACCATGAAAATGAGGTCAAGGTCAGATCTGATACTGGCAAGACCGACATGTACACATTACATTCATTCAATACATCAAATATAGCTGACCTTTTGTTTATAGTACTTGAAAAACTTAACATTGACCAATGAACCATGAAAATGAGGTCAAGGTCAGATGAAACCTGCCAGACTACATGTACCCCTTACAATCATTCCATACACCACATATAGTTGACCTACTTCTTACAGTATCTGAGAAATGGTGCTTATCATGTAACTATCATTGATCACTGATCCATGAAATGAGTCCAGGTCAAGTGAACCCTGTCTGACGGAAATGTAGGCATTGCAAGGAACCCATGTACCAAACATAGTTGCTACCGCCGTCGCTGGATAGTAATACCTATGTCTCGCATACTGCAACTTTCGTTGCAGGCAAGACAAAAAACAGTAGTTGGACTTCATTTCCTTCTCACTTGCTTTATAATTGAAAACATGGTTTGTACTACTACAGTTTAATTTTTTATTATTGTCAAATATTTAATCAATACCTGGAAGTTGAACTAGGTGACCACTGGCAATAACAAGTTGTTGACAACTAAAACTGGAAAGTTGAAACCTTTTAGCAGGTCGATCAGTCATGCAAGTGTAGACTTTCAGAATAAAAATAAAAGATAGATCATCATACATAGGGTTAAATTGTCCATATCTAGTTTATTAGTTGTTATTGGCTTTAAAATAGCTGTCAGTATTAAACTGCAATTACTCTCAGATCTGTACTTAGTGTCTTTTTTGTTGTGGGGATGCATTAATACAATGCCACGCCTAGGATGTGTTTTTTTAGATGTTTTTTTTTTTGTTTTGATCTGGCGAGTTAAGCCCTTTTCAACTTTTTTCAAAGTTTGTTCTTATGTTGTACTGTTACATCACTGTCCCAGGTTAGGGGAGGGTTTGGCGCCAACAAACTAGATTAACCCGGCCACATTCTGTATGTGCCTGTCCCAAGTCAGGAACCTGTAATTCAGTGGTTGTTCCTTGTTGCTGTGTATCATCTATTATACAGATAAAGACTGAATTTCACAACTGCACATTAGATGTGTTTGGAGGAAATAAATTTTCATCCTCAATCAAATTAGATGGAAAAAAAATGGACACAATATTCCAAGCTTGATACAGGTCTGAATTTGGATTGTATTAAATGTAGTCAAAGAACTTGAAATTGGTTATATGAATTGAATTTATATTCAATTAAAGATTTCTTGCTGTTGTGCAATACACTGTGCTGTTGCGCAATATTTAGTAAATCTGTTGTCAGACTATAAACAATTAAAGTTCAATCAATTCTCAATGTCATATAAGAAATTTATGAAAATGTAAAGGGAGCTTACATCAATAGATATAAACAATTCACCAAAGTTTCATGAGAATTGCTGACAGCATTTTTGAGTTATTGTCCGAAAACTGGAAAATCCCCCCCTTTTTTAATGAATAAAACCCCATAACTCAGAAATGTAAGATGTAAAATTTATAAAATTCTAAACGCAGCTTACATCAATAGATATAAACAATTCACCAAAGTTTCATAAGAACTGCTGAAAGTATTTTTGATTTTTTGTCCGAAAACTGGAAAATCCCCTTTTTTTTATGAATAAAACCCTGTAACTCGGAAACGTAGAATCTAAAATATATAAAAATCGAAAGGGAGCTCATGTCAATAGATATAAACAATACACCACAATTTCTTGCAAGTTGGTGAAAGCATTCTTGAGTTATTGTCCAAAAAATGGAAAATCCCCCTTTTTTTAATGAATAAAACCCAATTACTAGGAAACGTAAAATCTAAAATTAATAAAAAACAAAAGGGAGCTCACTCAATAGATATAAACAATTCACCAAAGTTTTATGTAAATTGGTTAAAGCGTTTATGAGTTAATGTCCGACATGTTGACGACGGACGGACAGACGGACAGACGGATGGACGGATGGACAGACGGACAACGGTATACCATAATAAGTCCCGTAAACGGGCGTATAAAAATAGGCATTGAAAAGAGATGTAAAATATTTGTCAAAGTCAGAGACTGCCATGCAAGGATATAAAGTGTCTGTATATAAACAAGCTAACCCAATAATTCAGTCATTATATTCTGCTGCTTGATGATGGCTACATTAAGGAGTTAAGAGAGATGAATTACGGGGAGGGCCTGAATCATTTTGTTACTTTGGAGGCATAATTTCACCACAAAATTCTAAATGAGGCATATGAAATGCCCTTTGTTTTTAGATGACATTTATTTGCCCACACAATTAGCTTCCTATTGTATTGATCTGAGTAGAAACATAAAAGCAAAAAGGAGAAATTGCAGGTGATCCGTTTAATTACATTCAATTTTTCACAGTACAGGACAGGGAGGGGTGCAAATCTGTGATTTAAAAAAAAAAAATTGTGGCTCATCCATATGTGTCTAAAGTCATACAGACTATTTCTGTTGCAAGAATTTCAAAATGACACAAACAATTCATAAAGTTTGAATAAAATTGACACAAACATTTCATAAAGTTTTAATAAAATTGACGCAATCATTTCATAAAGTTTTAATAAAATTATCATGTAATTCTAATGTTGACTTGGCTACGTTTTCACTGAAATACTTATCGGTACCAGAAACAAGGTCATGTAACGAGACAAAATTCTCCTTTTTAGGATCATACTGATCTCTTCCAACACTTGCTAAGAATTGATGCCTACGTTTCAGTCTATCTGTGTAGGTTTGGAATATCTGTGGCCACATTAGAACGTCTTTGTGTGATAGCTCCATAACATTGTGTAAGTAATCAAAATTACCGCTTAGTTGTTTTATATCTGAAAAGACAATTCTTCATTATTAATACCACCAATGGAAAAACCATTTAAGGAGTGGGTTTTTTTGTTTTTTTTCAATCTGAAAATATTTTTCATACCATGCTAGTATCAAATTATTTAGGATTAAGTTTAATCAAGAACTTAACATTAAATTTGATGGCAAAAAATCTCAATTAAAATTTTTTTTTATCTTCTCCCTGATCAAACTATTTTTAATTTGGAAATCAGAATTTAATTTAAGTAAACAAGAATGCACACGCTAAAATGTCTCGCCTGATTTACTTATGATTGAATTTATGTTGAAAGCCTGTAACATTTAAATATATTTATTAAAGTTATTGGTCACATGATGTAGTAACGGTCAAGTGATTGTTTACTATAAACATGTGTTTGTGTTAATACTAAGCACATGGTTTATGTTTATGTTAGTTATGATTGGATGGCATATACCCGCAATGCGGCTTTTACGGGTATATGCAGCTCATGAGATTTGTGAAAAGCATGATTGAGTATTACATTTGCCAAGTAAAGGGGTTCGTTTGAGAAATTTAAGTTAATCGAAGCTTGCCTATAGTTTACGTAGCAGCAGTTCGTTATCATGTTTACCCACCAAAAATTTTTGAGTTGATTATTGTTAATGTGGGTATATAAATGTATCGTATTAAATCATATTAATATGTATTTTTCCTCTTTTGTAGATAGATTTTGATTGTGTATACTATTATATGATTGGATTGGTAGTGCTTGCCTGAATTTATAGTGAAGGACTTTAGTTTGAAGAATATTGAATGTCATTAATATTAAAGGCTGTTACACCTGTAGGCACACTTATCCTATTTATGTTATGTTTTATGTGTTAAATAATTTATTCGTTTGAGCTTGGCAAATTAGAGTATAAGTTTTACTACCAATATCACATAAACTTAATGAACATTATCAATGATCCATGAAAATGAGGTCATGGTCAGATGAACCATGCCAGACAGGCATGTACACCTTACAATCATTCCATTCACCAAATATAGTGGACCAATCGCTAATAATACCAAAGAAACAGATCAAACACCAAAATCTTAACATTGACCAAGGAACCATGAAAATGAGATCAAGGTCATATGAACCCTGCTGGATAGACATGTACGCCTTACAATCATTCCATACACCAAATATGATTGTCCTATTGCATATAGTATCTGCTACACTGACAAAACCATGAAAATGTAACACTGACCAATGAGGCCAAAGTCCGATGAAACCTCTCAGTCGGACATGTGCACCTTACTATCATTCCATACATCAAATATAGTGGTCCTATTGCATATAGTATCCAAGAAATATACCAAACTACAAAAACTAAAAATTGTCAAATGAACCATGAAATTGAGATCAAGGTCAGATGAAACATGCCAGTTGGACATGTACACCTTACAATCATTCCATACACCAAATATAGTTGACCTATTGGTTATAGTATCTGAGATACGGACTTGACCATGAAAACTCAAGACAAAACAATTGTAGTTTTTTTCAAGTAGTCACTTACTCACTTAACCATGCAAAGGAGTTCAAGAGCAATGGACATATGACAGACAGAAACTGCATAACATAAGGTATCTGTATACAAGGTATGAAGCATCCAGGTCTTCTTCCTTCTTAAATATAAAGATTTATACAAATAGTTTGTTGCAGCCAGATTATAATCCCTTTGTCTGGAAGTCAAGACAAAAACCATAACCCCCATTCCCTAAGTTGTTTTATTTCTGAAAAGACAATGCTTTATCAGTAATCTATCGACCTGATTATACATGTTATAATTATATTGATTCACTTATAGGGTCTTTGCATCGGAATTAAACATATTTATTCTAAAGCCAGTTGTTGGCATGACACGGGTTATGTTCTTCTCATATATTTTATGATGGTATAATACTAAACCCCTAACAGGAGGGATTGTGCCTGATATTCATATGATGAAGACATAATCTTTCAATCAGTTTAATTGAGGTCTGGAGCTGGCATGTCAGTAACTGCTAGTAGTCTGTTGTTATTTATGTATTATTGTCATTTTGTTTATTTTCTTTTGTTTCCTATTCCGACATCAAACTTGGACTTCTCTTAAACTGAGTTTTACTGTGCGTACTGTTGTGCATTTGTATTTTCTACATTGGCTAGAGGTGTAGGGGGAGGGTTGAGATCTCAAAAAACATGTTTAACCCCGCCGCATTTTTGCGCATGTCCCAAGTCAGGAGCCTCTGGCCTTTGTTAGTCTTGTATCATTTTTAATTTTAGTTTCTTGTGTATAATTTGGAGTTTAGTATGACGTCCATTATCACTGAACTAGTATACATATTTGTTTAGGGGCCAGCTAAAGGAAGCCTCTGGCTGCGGGAGTTTCTCGCTGCATTGAAGGCACATTGGTGGCCTTCGGCTGTTGTCTGCTCTATGGTCATGTTGTTGTCTCTTTGACACATTCCCCATTTCCATTCTCAATTTTATATTTGTCACTGCACATTAAAGGGGCATTAGCTGTAAAAATCATGTTCACCGATTTGACTCAAATTCTCCTATTTGATTTATCACATACTTAAACGTATATCCAAATTACAATAAGTCTGAAATAAACAGTTAACAATGCATGTACTCGATAATTTTTATCAGAATTTCGTGTGTATTTTAGTCTAGACGCCATCTAATTAACTATCGAGATGACCTCCGAAGACTGCCGACGGTCACATAACCCGATATAAACATAAACATAAATATAAATAGATAGCCACCTCAAGCAATTGGATTTTTCTATGTCTGTTTGATTTCATGTTATAGGTCAAAAAATAAGTTTTTTACCTGTATAAGAATGATTTTTTGTGGATCGAATCAGTCAACGAAATGGTTCACCTTTGTTTCACTTTCAATGTTGACATTCTTTTCCTTTTAATGGCTGAACACAACTATAACATGTGTAACCAATTTCTAGCTAATGGGTTAAACTGAAGGTCACATGAATACGGATTCAATGAGGTGGAATTATTCACTTGCAAGTGAATAATTCATCAGCGATGTTTCTTTGCTTATTTTGACAAAATTGAACCAAAATGGCAGCTAAAACCGAATTATTATTTCATTATTTCACTTTTATTAATGATTGAACCAAACTAAATCATATTTTAATTTTTTTCATATCTTGTAGCTAATGCCCCTTTAAGCAATAAAGCAATATTATAATGTAAAACTTGTCTTTACAGAACTTTCTTTCTCTTTTTTTTTTAAGAAGAAAAGTAAGATGCCTAAACCTAACCCTGTTTTATATACAAATCACCGGAAAGTCAGCTATAAAGGGTTCAACACAAAAAAAAGTACCAAACAAAAAGTATCCACAAACAAGAATGTGTCCATAGTACACGGATACCCCACTCACACTATCATTTTCTATGTTCAGTGCAGGCATGGGGTAATGCAAATTTGTAATTGTAATGCATGGTAATGCATTACATTTTTCCAAGTAATTGCATGTAATGTGTAATGCAGCAATTTGTGCATTTCATGTAATTGTAATAAAATGCATTACTGTAGCAAACAGTTGTGTAATTTCATGCATTACATGGCATTACATGTCATTACTTTCACATAGTACATCTTTAACATATTGTTGGAGTTTTAACTAAACCAAATTTAAGATTTCTTGATTAACTAAGAATATGTTAATCATTAGAATATATTCTTTATTTCATCTTATTTCATACATTTTCCTGCATAAACAGATTGATATTTGAAAAGCATAACTGTATTGTTGTCATAAGATCAAAGAATAGCTTGTCTTGCTTAAATAAAAGATAATTAAACTTTGTTATAAAACACTAATTAGTTTGTTTTACAATCAATATTTTCACCATTTAGACAATTGTTCATTAATTAAGGTCTAATTCACAGTAATTAAATATTTCGTTTAAAATTAAAAAAAAAACAACAAAAAGTATATTTATAAAAGTAAAGTCAACATTAAGTGATAATAATTAAAATTGTAAAAGTCGAGTTAAATAGACTTTTTAAATGTATACGTATATTCAATTCATGGAACAGTTACTGCATATGCTAGAATCTTTTGTGACTTCTAGTTGTTTTTCAAAATGTTTAATTTTTCTATTCACTTAATAAAATTTTCAAATGTAATGTGTAATTCAAGGCATTACTTTGCAAAAGTAATTGTAATATAATGCATTACTTTGATAAATGCATGTAATTGTAATTGTAATATAATGCATGGTTTGGTCAAAGTAATTGTAATATAATGCATTACATTGCAATGTAATTCGCCCCATGCCTGGTTCAGTGGACCATGAAATTGGGGTCAAAACTAATTTGGCATTAAAATTAGAAAGATCATATCATAGGGAACATGTGTACTAAGTTTCAAGTTGATTGGACTTCAACTTCATCAAAAACTACCTTGACCAAAAACTTTAACCTGAAGCGGAACAGACGGACGGATGGAAGAACGGACGAAAGAACAGACGCACAGACCAGAAAACATAATGCCCCTTCTACTATCGTAGGTGGGGCATAAAAACTTGGTTAATAGCAATTCCCTCATTTTCCAAATACCAGTGCTTTGTGAGTTATATAAATGATACATTAATATCCACCACTGTTTGTTAAACTTACGTGTAAGAAGAATATTAGGACTTAACATAAACATCTTTTTGACTTCGCTCTGAGTGAAGCCAAATATATCTAATAAGTCCTCCTTGATTGCCTGTAAAATAAAGTTAGAAACAAAGATCAACATGCAAAATAAATCTACTATCTTATAAGGTAAGAAAATGAAGAGATTAGGAAATTGATTGCAGATCAATTTCACCATGAAAAAAAAAGAACAAAAGTTCCCTTGTCCCCTGCGCTGCATATATTTCATCTGTTAGAGGACTATAACTGGTTCTTTTTAAAAATATCTTAGAGAAATTAAAGTTTTAAAGCTCTAACAATGCAATTTTCCATACAATTGATATTTCCAAGGGACATAATTTTTAAAAAAATAGTTGATGGGCACTGATTTTAAAAATTGTATGAGACATTACTGATATAAACATGATAAACCTTTGATATACACATGAGAGCTGTTACAATTCAATATTCCATATTATCAATGTTTCCAAGGGCATAACTCTTTTAAAAATAATTGATTGCCACTGATTTTCAAACTTGTCTAATACATTTCTTATTTAAACCTATGCTATAAGTTTCATAACAATTTGGCAAGAATTGTACACATGAAAGCACTTACAATGCAATTTTCCTTATAATTGATATTTCCAAGGGGCATAAATCTTTAAAAAATAATTCATCAGCACTGATTTTCTAACTAGTCCGAGAGACATTACTGATATAAACCTATGATATAAGTTTCATTAAATTTGGCAGAACTGTACGCATTAGAGCGCTAACAAGACCAGAAGAATGGTATTTCTATGTCACCCGCAATGATTGTGCAGGAGGGGGGCAATAAATGAATCTAATGGTTTAATCTGGCAACATGGGGAAGTGGTTTAATTCTTTTTTCACCATTTACCATTTCAGAATCTGAAGAACATTGGGTAATTTAATTGTTCGTTCTCACAAAAATACAACATTGGTTGAATTTTCATTGTTTTGGTATAAGCTTTTAAAAATACTACCTAGAATGATTTAGATTCTGAAATGGCGAATTACAATTCATGTGGAAACAACTATAAGACAATTTTACGCATCTGAAATTAGAAATCAGAAATAGCCGATCCGACAAATCAGAATTAAAATTGAAACATCATGGTTTAAAAAAAAATCTGAAATTTTCATGTAGAATTTTGTTTAAATCATTTACAAGTTTTCAGGTTTTATAGACTCAGGACAATTAAGAGTTTGAAAAAAATGTAAAAACACCTATCTGTTGTATCTTTTGACGTCATTTGGTTGTTTTTATCGTTGGGTTGCTGTCTCATTGATATATATGTCCCCCACCCCTTTCTTCATAATTAATACTGTACCTGTACTCTGAATCTTTTCTGTGTAATCAACTTTGGACATTTAGTCATTGAACGGCGCACCTCACTGCCTAAAAAAAAACATACATACAGATTACATACACAGTTTCATTCATTTTTGTGTGTAACAATTTTTGTGGATTAAGAAAACATTTTAATTTCACAAATATATGATTTTAAAGTCTGCATTTAATATTGAAACAAGAATAAGTGGTATAACATAAGCCTATAAAAATATACATTTTGTTGAACATTTAAAATGCTGTTTTTTACCTATACCCACAAAAACTTCAATTGAAAGTAGAATTGATGAAGTAAGAATCAATCTGATTGGTTGCTGAAAGCAATTTTTCCCATACTTTACCTATGCAAAGACCTATCATTGGTTGACAAAAAGCAATAAGAATTTATTCCTACCTGAAAGCTTAAACTGTTTCTGATAGAATCCTAGTTGGCTGTCAAGCTGTTCTACTGTCAGTGATAAAGCCTTTGCATTTCTTGTCACTATAGAGGAGATACTCTCTTTAGAAAATTTCTTTGAACGAAGGTAATTTATTCTGACCTGGATAAAAGAAAATTGAGTAAGTTTATGATGTAAGTTAGTTGCTGTTTGCTGTCTGCAATTTGTTTTTCTTTGTTTCAAATTATAAGCTTAAGGGGGTACAGAACACCTAAGGGAGTTAACTCTTTAAAAATCAGCTGAACTTTTTTAACACACAGTAAATAGAAAACAAGTTTCCCAATGATCAAAACTAGTGTTTGTCAATCTGCTATATATCCAATGAAATTATTCCTGTAGATTGTGTGGTTGAAATTTCTTTCAATTTTTATATTTTTGTCAAATTTCTTCAAATTTTTATATTTTTGTCAACAGGTCAAACTCAAAGTAAATATTTTGTTCAAATTTTATGAAAATTAAACAAGCCAAATCTATTTTAGTCAAAGTGTTTGGTACCCCATTAACTCAGGCCACTGGTTTTCTCTTTTGAACTATTTCACATTTTATGATTTTTCACATGTTTTTTTCTGCACACAGCACTTTGGACATTTTTTCATTATGAGCCTTTTACAGCTTACTTTAAGTATTGGTTTTTGCTCATTGTTGAAGATAGTACTGTGACCTGTAAGTGTTCCCCTCTTTGTCCTTTGGTCTTTATTGATAGCTGTCACATTGGTCATAATATCCCATCTCTTCATTTTTATATTGTATTCATGACAGGTTGTCGTTGGTTCATGACTGTCAAATTTGTTTTTCTTTAATTGTTTTGCTATAAATTAGGCCTTTATTTTTCTCAGTTGAATTGTTTCATATTTTTCATGTCGGGGTCTTTTATAGCCGACTAATACGGTATGGGTTTTTCTCATTATAAATGAAGGCCCTATGGTTGCTTATAATTGCTTACATCCACTTCATTTGAACTTTGGTGGAGAGTTGTCTCATTGGCAATCATACCACATCTCCTTATTTTTAGATAAATCAGGTTGTTATCCCTCTTACCGGTAAACATGCTAGCTATCAATCTGCTCTATTATGATTCTTTTTACAAGAGCAAAATTGCAGATGTCATAATTAAAAATGGAACATACTCTTTGGGTGCATGGGATGACTGCAAAACTGCTTAAGACATGTAAGAGATCAGTTAGTAAATTTTTTTCTTCAAAAAGCGTATAGGATTAAAAAATAACAGGTCTAATTATTTTAACAACGGCAAAAACAATTTCATGGCTGATATTAAGAACAATATGAACAACATGACCAAACGGCAAAAAATTAGCAACTAACTAAAGTTACAAATTGAAAAAACCTTCAGAACCCAAATATACTGCTAATACTGAATGTGCCTGGAATATAGATATACCTTCGTTAATGGATTCAAATTTTATTCATTCAGTTCCTGCCATGCCCTACAACTTTTCCAGGTGCACAGTTTTGTCTGTGAGTAAATTTTGTGGTGTTATCATAGCAAATCTGTCATTTTGTCTTTTTCCTATATAAATTAGACCATTAGTTTTCTCATTTGAATTGTCTCACATTAATCATCATGATCACATCAAGGCCTTTTAAAGCCGACTATACGGTTTGGATTTTTATACGACCTTTTGCGGCCGAAAAAGGCAAAGCGACGAAATTTTGCAGCCATATATTGGTATTACGTTGTCGTCATCCGAAGACAGTTGTTTCCGGACAATAACTTTAGTATAATTAAATAGAAATCTATGAAATTTAAACACAAGGTTTATAACCACAAAAGGAAATTTGGGATTGATTTTGGGGGTTATGGTCCTAACAGTTTAGGAATTAGGGGCCAAAAAGGGGCCCAAATAAGCATTTTTCTAGTTTCCAGACAATAACTTGTGGAACGGTGTATGGATCTCTCTGAAATTATACCACAAGTTTCCATACAACAAGGGGATGGTTAGGATTTGCTTTGGGGGGTTATGGCTCAAACTGTTTAGGAATCAGGGGCAAAAAAAGGGCAAAAACAAGGGTGTCCTGGTTAATGGACAATAACTTTAGTACAAAACATAATTTAAAGCAGTGTAAGGGAGGTAGTTTAAACACATCATTTGAATTACCTCCCTTACACTGCTTTTAAATTATGTATAAAGAAATGGTTAATGGACAATTACTTTTAAAAGACAATTTAAAAGCAGTGTAAGGGAGGTCATCTAAACACAATGTTTTGATTACCTCCCATACACTTCTTTTAAATTATGTGTAAAGAAATGCATATTTATAAAGGAAGACCAGTAAAAATATCTGCAAATGTTGCATCTTTTTTTTTTACAAATTATTTATTCTGATTGTTTTCAGACATGTCAGGTGACCTGCAATTGCTTATATCTACTTCGTTTAAACTCTGGTGGAGAGTTGTCTCACTGGCAATCATACAACACCTCCTTATTTTCATATGGCCATAATAGTCGAGGGTCTGGATGGGATTTACAGAATAGAGAATAATGGGTAAAATGTACAGAATAAAGGGCTAAAAAATTAAAGAATAACGGGGTGCTAAAATATAAAGCATAGAGAATAACAGGCAAAATGTATAGATTGATTGATTGATTGATTGGTGTTTAATGCCACTTTCAGCACTGTTGTGCTATTTCGTGGCAGTCTGTTTTTTTTGGTGGAGGAAGCTGGCGTGCCCCAGAGAAAACCACCGACCTTAGTAAAATGTATAGAGAAAAATGGCCTTAAAATTATTAAAGAATAAAGAACTGGAGGACCCCCATCCAGACCCTCATAGTCACTTCCTTCTGATGAATCATTAACAAGATTAAGGTAATATATGTCAACCATTGTCAACTCAATGACATAGAAACCAAAAAAACATCTAGAAATTAACATCCAGTCTTTTCTTTTAAGCATACCTGTAAATCTGTTACTTCCTCTTTAAACAAGAAAGGATTTTTTGTAATGACCCTACAGAGGTCTTCATCAGCCACACCTATTCCTTTTAAGAAAAGTAAAAATGGCTGCACATCATTTTCATAATTCAGTTGAACCATCATATCTGCAGCCCCTTGTTTCTCTATTTCTGCTAGGCTGACACCAAGCATGACAAGATTTGACAACACCTTTGATTCTTTCACAAGGGGGGCTAAATGATAAATGGGTTCAAACACTTTCTTTTGTCCACTAGGAATACTTGCAATGTCCAAATCTTCGTGCATAGAATGATGGTCCTGAACTGAAATTATTTTATTTCCCTGATCTATATCATTCCTCTGACCTCCATCCTCAGTAGATATTGAATATTCACTTGTACTGATTGTCAGACCACTTTGATTTTGATGTTCTTGATAACTTGTTGACCCAGAAATATAATTCCTCTGACCACCATCCTCAGTAGATATTGAAAATTCACTTGTACTGATGGTCAGACCATGTTGACCTTGATGTTCTAGATAACTTGTTGACCCTGAAAGGTCAAAGCCTTCAATTTCAGTTTGCGTCAATTGATCTGTAATTAAATTTTCTGTATCACTAATTTGACTTATAGTTTGGCTTGTAGTCACTTCGTCTCTGTTGTCATTGGGATTAATTAAATTTTGACCTGGTTTCTTAATGTCTCTTGTCAAACCAGATTTATTTTGTGGTACAGTAAATACACCAACTTTACCATTTTTATTTTCTGAAAAAGTAAATTTTCAAGTTAGAACAACTGGATTAAAAAAATTTTCTCACTGGAAAATAAAAGGAAAAACTGTTTAAGGTGGTACCAAACACCTAGACTTTTGGCTTGTTTAATTTTCATTAAAATTTTGACAAAATATTTACTTTGACCCTTTGACAAAAATATCAAAATTTCGAAAAAACTTGAACCACACACTTTATCAGAAATATTTCATTGGATATATAGCAGTTTGACATACACTATTTTGATCATTGAGAAGCTTAATATTTACTAGACAATAGAGCCTGATTAAAATGTTCAGCTGATTTTTACAGAGTTATCTCCCTGTAGTGTTATGTACCACCTTAAGTATATGTTTTACCTTCTAGAGGTAATGACTTTAAATGGTGTATTAACTGTGATTGAAGTATACAGATAGTGACAGATCCAGGACCATCAAAAAGGAGGATGGAGAGGCACATCAACATTAAAGGTTAAAAAATGTGCAGCAGAAATTCAGAAAAAAATGTATTTAAAAAAAAACAAATTTCTAGCCCTAGATCTGCCCCTGACAGAAATGGTATTGCTCATCCATGTTCAAACTAGATTTACTTCACTCTTATATTACAATTAAAAACTTCTTTTCACCTTTATATGTTGTCTGTTTGCTAGAACATTTTATTTTTCCGCCTTTAAAAAAAAAAAAAGAAGTCGTCACTATCCATTTTTGCTATCCTGTGTACCTATTTCAGGAGAGTAACATTTTTATAATAAAAGTCTTTGGAAATCATATGTTCACTACAAGTTATATTTTTTTGTTTAATCTTCATTCAATATTCATGATCTTTTTGTGCTTCAGTTATATTTTGCATCTTCAATATGTTCAATGAAATTTATTTTAATTTATTTCACTAAAGACATATTGAGTGAATTTTATATATGTTAATGCTGTGAACATTTCCGTTTTATCGATATAAAATTACAATGAGTCAAAAGCTTTGTTATTGCTGTCTAAATCTTGTCAGTTAAGAGAAAAGATATATAAAAATAAATTAGGGCTGTTCCATTAAAACATACATTGTACCCAGGGAAGGCACTTTAAAAATGGGGTAACCACCTATAGAGGCAATTTAAAATTTCACTTACATTTCCACTATGCAAAACATATATGACACCCATCCATCGCTGAGATTTGAAAGTGCCTACCCTGGGTCCCATGTATGTTTTTATGGAACAGCCCTTAAACTGAACATGTCAAAACTAAGATTATGCAGTGTGACATTGTCGTTATGCTTTTATGTTCATTTGATTCTAATTCCACTTATCACATTTAAATAAAATCAAATTCTGCTGAAAACTGATTTGTGTGACCACATTGGGGTGGTACATAACACTACAGGGAGATAAATCTGTAAAAATCAGCTGAACATTTTAATCAGGTTCTATTGTTAAGGAAATATTAAGCTTCTCAATGATCAAAATTAGTGTTTGTCAAACTGCTATATATCCAATGAAATTTTTCCGATAAAGTGTGTGGTTCAAGTTTTTTAAAATTTTTATATTTTTGTCAAAGGATCAAAGTGAATATTTTGTCAAAATTTTATGAAAATTAAACGAGCCAAATCAATTTTAGTCAAGGTGTTTGATACCACCTTAAAGTGTTATGTCACTGAAGGGAAGGTTCACAGCAATCATGGCACTTAACACATCATTTAAAATACTGTAAATTCAGAAATTATTGTGAGGTTTTTATTGATGTGAATAATGCGATTGGGTAGGTATCACAAATATAAGAATTCACAATCAAATGTCTGATACATATATCTGTATGGAGATTTTGATGAAATCGCAATAATTAACATTATTAATCTTGCATTTTTGTTCATTTTTAAAAATTCGCATAATAAACATGATAAATGCATGCAATAGTTTTTGAATTTACCATGTTTACCTGTTTACAGTATTCATTTTGAGAAAATACTATCTAAAGTGTAAAAAAAAAAATTTCTGCTTTTATCTATCCATTGTATACATTTATATTATCTATTTGACAAAATTTATAATCATGATAATTGTATCTCTGTAAGTATATATTTCATTCAACATTTAAATGGAGTGCATCAAGTTTTAAATTCTTACAAAATTTCATTAATCTGAATTACAATACAGACCTGAATTTTTCAAAGTACTGTTTTTTGTATCCTCATCTGAACTGACAATATTTGACAATGACCTCACACATGTGTTTCTATGGCAACAATATCTTGAGACATTACTTTCAGCTCTCTGGGATATACCTCGATACAAACATGCCACAATTCTTTTTGACAACATTTTACCTGTAATGAAATAAAATGAAACCTAAATTAAAAGAAGTGTTGTCATATTTCAATTGCATTAAGTTAGCATATTTTTATACGCCCGTTTACAGGACCTATTATGGTATACCACTGTCCATCTGTCCGTCCGTCTGTCTGTCCGTCGTCAACATGTCGGACATTAACTGAAAAAACGCTTTAACCAATTTGCATAAAACTTTAGTGAATTGTTTATTTCTATTGACGTGAGCTCCCTTTTGTTTTTTATAAATTTTAGATTTTACGTTCCAGATTTACAGGGTTTTATTCATTAAAAAAAAAGTGAATTTCCAGTTTTCTGACAATAACTCAATAATGCTTTCACCAACTTGCAAGAAATTGTGGTGAATTGTTTATATCTATTGACATGAGCTCCCTTTCGATTTTTTTAAATTTTAGATTTAACGCAGCAGTTTATTATACATGCTATGGATAGAGAAAAAGCTCTAGATTCTTCTACATTCTTAAAAGGAGATGTTGGATGACATCATTGAGATCGAAACCAAATGACAAAAAAAATATAACTACAGGTAAACATACTAACTGCATCAACAGACAAAAATGTCTACAAAAATTACATGGTTTAAATTGCCATGAATCTTGTAAAGCTGTAAATCATCTAGGCATCTATCACCAATATCAGGATCACCTCCCCCACCCCTCATAAATTCTAATAGTGGAATAACAAAGAATACTCAAAACAAAGAATACAAATTCAGTCTAATTTAAAATCAGCAAATGTTTAAGGTTCAAGATTAATTAACTATGTATAGTACCATAAGTTTTTATAATCTCAATCTCTATAACTGTATCTACCGGTAGGTATTATTTTATATAAAAATAGATACAAGGGTGACCAGTAATGTGGGAATTCCCTTTACTGTTAAGCATGTTGGAAGTCAAGTGCCATTTTTCAACATCACATGTATCTTGTCAAAGAAAAAGGGGGATAACTAAAGTTTTACTATAAGGTTTTAAATGTTTAGCCCCACAACTTTTATTGTTGAACATTAAAATGTTTTAATCAAACTGTTTTAGTGTTCTCTTTAAATCTTATTTTAACCAGCCAACGTAATGAATATTCTTACATTTTTACTCCTATACCGAAAAGAAATAGAGTGTTTATGACTGAAATACCATTGTGTCACCATTTAAATACCATTTACCATTTAATCTTAATTTTTTGTTAGCAAAGTTTTCTAAACTATTTTCTATCTTGCAGCATGTCAAACATGTATATTATATTCAACATAATTTTTTTTAATGAACATGAAGATACGTGTGTGGGGACATGATATCATTGATTTAAGACATCCTTGATTTTCGAATATTTACCGTTTAAAGACAAACAAGTATTTAACCTTGCTTTAAAGTCGAACTTATATGTCTATCAATGCAGTGTAAGTCGTTGATTTCCAGTGAAAAAAAGTTCCCATTCTGAAAAAGAAGATTCAAAAGTGACAAAAACTAGCTGATCATAGTACCTATGATATTCCCTGCAAAAATTGCCATTTAGTAGTAAGCTGTTTTTTGTTGTTGTTGTTGTTTATAAGAGAAATTAAGGTTGGAGTGTTTAGTGTTAATATAAAAAAGAAGATGTGGTATGATTGCCAATGAGACAACTCTCCATAAGAGACCAAATGACACAGAAATTAATAGCTATAGGTCATTGTGCGGCCTTCACCATGAGCAAAGCCCATACCGTATAGTCAGCTATAAAAGGCCCTGAAATCACAAATGTAAAACAATTCAAACAGGAAAACTAACAGCCTATCTTTTGTTAACCCTATGTATGTATGGTAAAATTATATTTTTCCAAAGAGTTCCTGTATAAAATTATTTGAGAAAAAACTATGAATTTCTGATGGTATTAACTGGTTCTCAATTTAATTGGTACAGGATGGCCAATGGGGTGTTGTCCAATTTGGAAATGAACTGACATTTTATGAGCTACTTCCATCATTTCTACAATATTACCACTAGAAACTTCTATGAGGACCACTACACAGACGTGCAAGAATAGCCGATAACCACATCGTTAATAACTTTATTGACTAACTTTCTCTTTTAACTATACTAGATTCTTATTTTACTTTCACTTTCACTTTCTATTTATATCCATAACGTCGTCATAACAACCTCTATTGTTCGGCGAACCACACAACCGCAAAATTTGTACTTCACTGTTTGATTTCATGTATAATATTGTCCTGAAGACGCCACCTTGTTGGCGAAACATGTCAACCACAATAAATTAATCACCATGCGGTAATTGATGGGTGTTGTTGTCTTTAATGTTGTTTATATGGTTCTCAACCAGTAAGGCCAACCTTAAAAATATGTTTGTTTGCAGTTTTCCGACTGTACCTTCAGACTGCAGGGTCGGTAGGTAGGAAAAATATTTTATTTTATCAGCCAGAATAAAGTTTAATCAAACAGTTTAACACAAACCAAGTTTCTTGTGAAGAAAAAACATTTTAAAACAACAAACACTGAAAACCAACATGAAATGAACAGGCATTTTCAGGTAAACACCTTTTTAACCAAAACTGAAACTTGACATAGTGTCATTATACAATTTATGACATAAAATTATGGTATTATGAAATACTGGAACACTTATAAACAAGAAATGACTAGAATTGTTGTAAAGAAACATATTCACTGATATTTATGCATTTTTACTAGAATGTTTTCATGAGTAGAGTATTTGCATCAGAAAAATGTAGATGTTAAAGATTCAAAAGACAATTTAGGAGTGTTTTAAAAAAAATCAACCATTGAATCTTCCTCAATTGAAAAAAAAAGAGAACTTAGAAAAAAATATATTAGACATCTGACTGTTATAAAGGTTATATTTGGAAGGATATGTTGATGCCAGGCTTTAATTAAAACAAACAAAAATCTTAAGACTTGCTTTGGGGTGAAATCCATAGCACCGCATTAAAAGTAAATGGTCTGTACTGAAAGGTTTTGACTGCATAAAAAAATTGGCAGCATAGCTCCTAGCTAAGGACATGTTTCGTTTCAATTCAATTCACACAGGCCACACAGTTTGGGTATATTTATTATTGTAAGAGAGAGAATAATTGCAATGAGTTGGACAGCCCCCCTTATCCTACAGGAGCATACTCATTGCAATCGAAGATAGATTTGATACAGAGAGAATATATTTATTTCTCAAGCCAACCATTCATTTTCTCTACATCTTTGTGTAGTTTGGGTGCCTTCTTATTGATTTAACATTTCAAATGCGTCCTTCCACCGTACAGGCATGTTTACAGGTATCCATGAAGTCACGAATGAGTGGTTTCATCTTTGTCGTCTTGGCACGACGATTTAAAGAAAATATGGCATACTTTAGGCTGCTGTTGAATTGTTGAACCACTGATATTGGTTCCATTAAGTCAGTCTCAAAAGATTCTGTATCCGATTTGTTTGAGACAGAAACGGTTATCGTGTCGGTTTTATGAATATCTGCTGCATCATCGTCAATGATATCATCGAAGACATTATTCCGTGTGCAATTCTGCCTGAATCAGTATAAACAGTTTACTATGAAACTTTTCTGTGTATTATTTGTCTTAAAATTGACAGAAGACGACAGAATAAAGTACTCCTCCATGACTTCGTGAATACCTGTAAACAATCTCCATGTGCTTCACCATTAAAGGGTGCGATGAAAGCTTGACAGGAAGGGAAGAAAAACCATACTTCAAACATGTAATTCACCTACACTTGAAATCAATTCCGGAAATGACCTGAAATTCTGGATTGAGTCAATAGAAATATTAAAAATAATTTCTTCAAATTAAAACCAATAAAATGTTCTCAGTCGGGCGGATTTTCGAAGGTCGGTCGGTAAACTGCAAACAAACAATATTTTAATTTAAGCCTAAGGCAGTATTATTCTGTCAAGAACAAATATTATTGTAATGTCACAGTACCCAAATTGCACTGAGTACCCAAATTGCATCCATTTAGTAAAAACAGCAGCGGAAATCTGACAAGTTTCCCAAGACACAAAACCATTTATATTCATTTAATTTGACATTATGCCCGTCTTTCAACATAACTTAACATATTTCAACGTTCACAATATATATCAACAGACGTGGTATTTACTTGAAAAAGTAAATTATCTACGGAACTTTTGAAAATGAGCAAATAAAATATGTTACAAGCATCCATTTCTTTAAAAAAAATGAATAGTAATTATGGATGTTTGTCAAATTGTTTGGAGAAGTAAAACAAAACACCAGTTATTCAATTTTTACGAATGTGAATTTAATAATGGATGAAATTTGGGTACTCCTTATTACAGAATCATGAATCATTTGAAGGTCAGTTCAAAACTATTTTTCTATGATTCAATATAGATTCAAAATTAAATTGGTGGAACTATATATGAAATGAGGATACATCTACAAAATAAACACAAAATAGAAACGGTGAAAAAAACTGTCAAAATAGGTGCAACTTGGGTACCCTCACGTTAATATTTGTTCCAGTGGTAATAATAATATATCATAATATTTCTCCCATTTTGACATTATGCCCGTCTTTCAATATAACTAAACATATTTTCACAATATATATCAGAAGTTGTATTTACTTGAAAAAGTAAAATCTACAGAACTTTTAAAAATGAGCAATTAAAATATGTTACAAGCATCCATTTCTTTAAAAAAAAATGAACAGTAATTATGGACGTTTGTCAAATTGTTTGGAGAAGTAAAACAAAACACCAGACAGTTATTCAATTTTTACGAATGTGAATTTTAAATAATGGATGAAATTTGGGTACTCCTCATTACAGAATCATGAATCATTTGGAGGTCAGTTCAAAACTATTTTTCTATGATTCAATATAGATTCAAAATTAAATTGGTGGAACTATATATGAAATGAGGATACATCTACAAAATAAACACAAAATGGAAACGGTGAAAAAAACTGTTAAAATAGGTGCAACTTGGGTACCCTCACGTTAATATTTGTTCCAGTGGTAATAATAATATATCATAATATTTCTCCCATTTAGAACTTACATTATAAAGGAACTTCTAGCCAGTGCCGGCGCCCAGTAGTAGACCTCTTATTTCTACCCCTGCGATTAAATATAATATAATCATGATAATACTGATATGTTAATATGAAACTTTATATTTCTGAAAATATTTAGCATACAGTCTATGTATGGTCTTAAGGTAGATGGGGTGTCTAAATTATAATCCATAGAATTTTTTAATAATTTGCCAAAATGTAGTTTATATCATGCTTTTTAAAAAAAAATGATAAAAAGAATGGGTCACGGGGCTTATTTTCACGCTACAGGTTGTTCAAAATTAACAGATTTTGTATAGATTATGCATGGAAAACCCAATTTTCTGCCATAAAACGAAAACTACACCATAGAATTTTGAGATAAAATATGAGAAGATAGTTTTAATAGTATGCTTTCAGATAAGAAAAAGAAAAAATGGGGTCACCGGACCCGTTTTCTTGCTACATAATAAAATAGGTAAATTCCTAACACATTCTATTGTAAAAGTACCTTTATCTGAATTATCTGCCCTTACATTTGAGTTGCCTCCCCTTATGTGGCAAAGTTGGAAAAAATTAAATCAAACAAAAGTTTTCTGTTTTTTTGTAAAATACAACCATAAATATGATAAAACATGTCATTTTCTATATTGAAATGACAATTCTTACACATGAATTACCTACTACTCTCAAAATTTGCACATTCTATTAAAGATCTAGACCGATTGTTTTCAGGTATTACAAAATCCAAGATGGAGGAAGACACCCTATCTACCTTAACATTACTAATTATTCAGATTTTTGGATGAATGCACTGCTGTTTTACTTCTTCAAGTTAATGAGGGATTAATGTCTCATATTGATTTTTGTTTTTCAGTTCTTGAGTCTTGGTGCATATCACAAAATGTATATTTCAAAACTGCAACATTCTAATCCCTAATGCTAGTCTATAAATGTGTCAATTACTTGATCTTTTTCTCAGTGAGTCTACAACATGTTGGTCTGAAATAAAGGGAAATAATTGTAGAAGGTCAATATTTAGTTCGACATAAAATAAAGGGAAATAACTAAACTGGTCATTATGTAGAACAAGTTCCCTAAGTTGCCTCAACTTCAAGATTAAAAGGTGGAATGTTTCTATAGTAGAACCGCTTTGTTGTATTTTAAATTTTTCTGAATTTTAACTGTATTATTCAGCTAAATAGCAATGCATGTATAAATATCGAATTGTAAATACAATTTAAGTAAAATCAACCCTTCTTTTTTTCATATTGGTATGTACAGAGCTTATCTGCAGGAACTGAACAGAATGGCTTCATCAAAAGCATCTAGCAAGTTAAAGGCTATATTGTTTCTGGGAACAGTCAGAGAAAATCGAGTTGGATTACGAGTTGCAAGATTTATGAAGAAACAGCTTGAAAAAAGAAATTATGAGGTTGAAATGTTTGGTATGTATAACTTACACTTTCCAGTTTTTACAATTTTTACAGCAGTATATATAGGCAAGTGGAAACCAGTTTTGACAATAAAAAAGGATTTTGTTTACCTATATCTGGGACTATTATACTAGCTTATATATATGCAATATTAAAGAACTGACTATTATTTTAAAAGCAAATTTAATTTAAACATTTTTGATTTTGAAGCTATGTGATTGATTTTGTTAGATTATATAATGTTTTATAATATTTATATGCAATGAGATATTTATTTTTTATTTTTTTACAACATACAGAAAAAAGATCTGAGATTTTATTCTTATGCTGCATAAGAATGTTTTGGTACTGTATCTGTTAAACAAAATGTTATGACATAATGCATACATGTAGTATTAGACTGTGACTGATTTTAGTAGTATTTTCAACTACATGATTTGATATGATTTCATTACTTTGTAACAATTAGATGCTCAATATTTGTGTATTTCCTTTTACACAGTCTTATTTTCACTTGGACACATAAATGTTTTTAAACGATTATACTTATAATTTTGTATCTCAGATATTGTTGCTCAGTTATCTCATTTAACAATTTGTTTCTTTTATGTTAATTGGCAATGCATATTTTTGTAGAACTTTTCAAAGTAAATATTAAAATTCTCTCTTTACAAAGAACACAACTAAAATGAAGAACTGGCAAAATAACAAAATCACTATATTGCCTGCACTAGCAAAATAGCCATTGCTATAGAAATATGCAATTTTGCCAGCTTTAATTAAGATATTTTAATCAGAGCCGGCAAAATAGATAGCCAATGCCATATATATAATTTATAATTTTCTCTGAACATTTAGACGCATTCTTATATAATGCTTTTAGATTTTTGCTTCTTTCTCTTTAGCTCACCTGGACAAAGGGCTAGCAAGATTTTTTGGTATCACTTGGCATTTATTATCTGTTGTAATCTATACAAAAATAGAAAATCTGACAAAAAATTCAATAAAATAATTAAAAATTGTAGATCAGAGACAAAATGCTGGCAAACTTTGGTTAAAAGATAACCATTTAAAGAATTATGGTTGATCCGCCTAATACGCTCTTTAAGATATGGCCACCACTGCAACTATAAATTTAAAACTATAAAACAAAAAGTTCAATAAATATATCATAATTCATAATACAAGTTATCTAAATTTTCAATCACCAGCCATTGTAAGCATACTTTTATTCAGGCATGTAGATTTTCCAATGAGTAAAAGTACACTAGTGTTGTCTTTCTGTAAATACAATGTTGTGTGAAACAGAACAAACACACAGGTAAATTTTTGATTGCCTTTAATTAACCTTTAATAATTTCAGTCAAGTTAATCAACTTAAGTATTGAACTGAGTCAAATATTAACCTCCCAATTTTTTGCCAACCTTGGAAATCTAGAAGTCACAATATTGTATTTAGCTATAGAAAGTGTCTGCACCAAATTGTATTCTCTCATTAAAAGTATGAAGATGTGAATAATTTAATAGAGAAAAAAATCAAAATTTACAACGGGGCATAAAAAAGATTTCTAAAAAACACCAAAAAATCCTAAGATGCATTGACAAGGACATTGAAGGAGCCTAATTACCCTAAACGGAAAAATTAACCTAAATTTAACACATTACTGTGTAAAAAATTCTAACATTATTAAATTTAATCGCGTATTCTCATCTGAAAATGTTTTTGAACTAGAAAAGTTGTGTAGATTTATACGATACATATCGGTGAAAGTCTGTCCACCTGGTTTTATATTTTCACACATGCAAATCAAATATATGTATTATATATGAACTGTTATTTTCTCTGTAGCAATGAACTAGTTTATGAGAATGAAATCATTCATTTGTTCATTCACTTGAGTGATCTTGGATAAGACTATTAAGGTCCATAAATGCCCTCCCACACCTAAATATGCCTCTGTTGTATGAAAACAGAGGATAACACAGCATAGGTAAACATGAATGAAAAATGCAAAAAATTAAACAACCTTAGTCCCTGAAATTTGACCTAAAATACATTCTTTTATATGATGCCTTAAGGATGTACTTAGGTCATGTTTAAAAAATTTTGTCAGAAGTTCAAACTCCTTAGTTTTTAGCTCACCTGACCTGAAAGGTCAAGTGAGCTTTTCTCATCACTTTGCGTCCGTCGTCCGTTGTCCTGCGTCCGTCGTCCTGCGTCCGTCGTCCGTAAACTTTTACAAAAATCTTCTTCTCTGAAACTACTGGGCCAAATGCACCCAAACTTAAACACAATCATCATTCAAGTATCTAGTTTTAAAAATGTGTCCGATGACCCCGCCAACCTACCAAGATGGTCGCCATTGCTAAAAATAGAACATAGGGGTAAAATGCAGTTTTTGAATTATAACTCAAAAACCAAAGCATTAAGAGCAAATCTGACGTGGGGTAAAATTGTTCATCAGGTCAAGATCTATCTGCCCTGAAATTTTCAGATGAATCGGACAACCGGTTATTGGGTTGCTGCCCCTGAATTGGTAATTTTAAGGAGATTTTGCTGTTTTTGGTTATTATCTTGAATATTATTATAGATAGAGATAAACTGTAAACAGCAATAATGTTCAGCAAAGTAAGATTTACAAATAAGTCAATATAACCGAAATGGTTAGTTGACCCCTTTAGGAGTAATTGCCCTTTATAGTCAATTTTTAACCATTTTTCGTAAATCTTAGTAATCTTTTACAAAAATCTTCTCCTCTGAAACAACTGGGCCAAATTAAACCAAACTTGGCCACAATCATCATTGGGGTATCTAGTTTAAAAAATGTGTGGCGTGACCCGGCCAACCAACCAAGATGGCCGCCACAGCTAAAAATAAAACATAGGGGTAAAATGCAGTTTTTGGCTTATAACTCAAAAACCAAAGCATTAAGAGCAAATCTGACATGGGGTAAAATTGTTCATCAGGTCAAGATCTATCTGCCCTGAAATTTTCAGATGAATCGAACAACCTGTTGTTGGGTTGCTGCCCCTGAATTGGTAATTTTAAGGAAATTTTGCTGTTTTTTGTTATTATCTTGAATATTATTATAGATAGAGATAAACTGTAAACAGCAATAATGTTCAGCAAAGTAAGATTAACAAATAAGTCAACATGACTGAAATGGTCAGTTGACCCCTTTAGGAGTTATTGCCCTTTATAGTCAATTTTTAACAATTTTTCGTAAATCTTAGTAATCTTTTACAAAAATCTTCTCCTCTGAAACAACTGGGCCAAATTAAACCAAACTTGGCCACAATCATCATTTGGTTATCTAGTTTTAAAAATGTGTGGCGTGACCTGGTCAACCAACCAAGATGGCCGCCACGGCTAAAAATAGAACATGGGGGTAAAATTCAGTTTTTGGCTTTTAACTCAAAAACCAAAGCATTTAAAGCAAATCTGACATGGGGTAAAATTGTTTATCAGGTCAAGATCTATCTGCCCTGAAATTTTCAGATGAATCGGACAACCCGTTGTTGGGTTGCTGCCCCTGAATTGGTAATTTTAAGGTAATTTTGCTGTTTTTGGTTATTATCTTGAATATTATTATAGATAGAGATAAACTGTAAAAAACAATAAATGTCGGCAAAGTAAGATCTACAAATAAGTCAACATGACCGAAATTGTCAGTTGACCCCTTTAGGAGTTATTGCCCTTTATAGTCAATTTTTAACCATTTTTTCGTAAATCTTAGTAATCTTTTACAAAAATCTTCTCCTCTGAAACTACTGGGCCAAGTTAATTATAGATAGAGATAATTGTAAGCAGGAAAAATGTTCAGTAAATTAAGATGTACAAACACATCACCATCACCAAAACACAATTTTGTCATGAATCCATCTGCGTCCTTTGTTTAATATTCACATAGACCAAGGTGAGCGACACAGGCTCTTTAGAGCCTCTAGTTTTCCTTATGATACAGAGTAAAATACTTTGCCCCATAACACCCATTTTTCTTTTCATATAAGACCTCAATAGCTCATAAAAGGTCAAATACCAAAATTTAAGTAGATTCTAGATTTCCTTTCTTTCGATTTGAGACCCAAATAATACCAATGCAAATATAAGGTAAAAGTCTGAGTCAGCCTTTTCCCCCCATTTTTTTAAATTAAAAATCTCGAAAAGGAGCGCCATAACCTATCAATATTTTTAGCTTATTTTGTTCCTTAACTAATGCTCTTCTGAGTAATAGTATCAATTTTAGATTCTAGATTTTTTTAATTTCACCTAAGTACATCCTTGATACTGCACCTGCATATATCTTCAGAAGTTTAAACACATGTTTTTTACTTATTTCAGATCCATTAGAGATGAAATTCCCCATGCTGCATAAGCCAGTACATTTCTATGGACCAGAAAGAAAGGGATGTCCTCAGTGGCTTCTGGATGCTGAGAACAAAGTCAAGGCAGCTGACGCTTTCATTGTTGTATCTGGGGAATACAACCATTCCATACCACCAGCATTGTCTAACATGCTAGATCATTTTCCTGGATCAATTTTTTCATATAAACCCAGTGCAATAGTGTGCTATTCTCCAGGTATGTGTACACTGTGTTTGTTCAATTTCGTGGACTAGAAATCACATTTCACCTTACAGGCTTATGATTGGTGCCTATAAATTTCAGGTAAAGGGCCATAGTAAGGCTGCTTAAAACTTCTGACATTTCATTAAAGGTTATCCAGGCTTTTTCTGGTTTTGTTATTACTTTCTGAAAAAACAATTTATCACTATAATCTTTGTTAAAAAACTAATTTTATTCTAAACATGCTGATAGGGGTTATCTCCCATTGATGACTGAATTTGATTGATTGGCGTTTAATGCCACTTTCAACACTATTGTGCTATTTCGTGGCGGTCAGTTTTTATTGGTAGAGGAAGCCGAAGTGCTGGGAGAGAACCACAACCTTAGGTAGGAAAACTGACAGTCCTAGACAATTAAGATTGGAGTGGAGTGTACCTGCACCGTGCAGGAGCCGAACTCACAACCTCAGTGTTGACTGGCTAGTGATACTGTTGTTGAACTACTTAGACCACTCGTCCAACAAGGCCCCAGACTGAATTTATGAGTAAATGGTTTACTTTATATGTACATCTTCAAAATAAGTATTTTGTGCTTTCAATAGGTATATAATTTGAATATTTGTTTTTCAATAACTTAAACATATGCTACATTGTATGTGGTATTTTATTTGTTTCATATCCAATAGAATCAGCTTTATCATATAAAGACGCACCTTTGCTTTTCTCTAATTTTCATGCTAATTTTTCACAATTTCTCAATCGGTGTGAGAATAATATTTTTCATCTGTAGAAAAATGTTGTTCTCAGCAAATGATTAGTTGAAATTCAATCATTGTCAATTATGACTTCAAATTTTCTTCATTTCTTCTGAATTTTCAATTATGACATCATGAAAAAAGGCGACCATGCCTAATGACGTCACATATAAAAAATGCAACTTTCTGCAAATCTTTAAAAAGGAAAAATAAACTTTGTTTAGAGATTGTCTAAAGATCATAAGAGAAACAGATTCCACCATTATATCTTGTGTAATACAAAATAGTCAATATTTCGCCACTTTTAACAGTTAAATTTTAGATATTTAAAATTCTCGGCAAGCCTCGCTCTTTAAATTCTAAATTTTACTGTCTCGATTGGAGAAATATCATAACACACTTGATACAGTGACAGAATCTATAATTCTTACTGATAAATGTAAGACTATTAGTTAAATGTAATAATCAATATGACTCTACTTTGATCAATTAAAATAACTTTTCTATGCAGAAACTTTATTTATTCTTATTTACTGTAAAAATAAAAATGCAAATCAATGCAGCCCTTCATGCCAAATATAGTACATCACTTGGAGTTTATATATTTCAAATCTTCCAAAAATTTGCGTTCATCCTTCAGCATGTTTAGTTGCTTTTATAACATATGGTCTAGATAAGAAAAGTGGGAGGTTTGTGCTCCCATAAACTGGTTTAACCCCACCACACCTTTTTGACATGCACCAAGTCAGGCCATCTAGACCATATGTTTGTTGTCCTTTGATATGCACCACGTCAGGCCATCACGACCATATGTTTGTCGTCCTTTGATATGCACCAAGTCAGGCCATCTAGACCATATGTTTGTTGTCCTTTGACATGCACCAAGTCAGGCCATCTAGACCATATGTTTGTTGTCCTTTGACATGCACCACGTCAGGCCATCTAGACCATATGTTTGTTGTCCTTTGGCATGGACCAAGTCAGGCCATCTAGACCATATGTTTATTGTCCTTTGACATGCACCACGTCAGGCTATCTAGACCATATGTTTGTTGTCCTTTGAAATGCACCAAGTCAGGCCATCTAGACCATATGTTTGTTGTCCTTTGACATGCACCAAGTCAGGCCATCTACACCATATGTTTGTTGACCTTTGACATGCACCAAGTCAGGCCATCTAGACCATATGTTTGTTGTCCTTTGACATGCACCAAGTCAGGCCATTTAGACCATATGTTTGTTGTCCTTTGGCATGCACGAAGTCATGCCATCTAGACCATATGTTTGTTGTCCTTTGCCATGCACCAAGTCAGGCCATCAAGACCATATGTTTGTTGTCCTTTGACATGCACCAAGTCATGCCATCACTAGACCATATGTTTGTTGTCCTTTGACATGCACCAAGTCAGGCCATCTAGACCATATGTTTGTTGTCCTTTGACATACACCACGTCAGGCATTCACGACCATATGTTTGTTGTCCTTTGACATGCACCAAGTCAGGCCATCTAGACCATATGTTTGTTGTCCTTTGACATGCACCACGTCAGGCCATCACGACCATATGTTTGTTGTCCTTTGACATGTACCAAGTCAGGCCATCACTAGACCATATGTGTGTTGTCCTTTGGCATGCACCAAGTCAGGCCATCTAGACCATATGTTTGTTGTCCTTTGACATGCACCAAGTTAGGCCATCAAGACCATATGTTTGTTGTCCTTTGACATGCACCAAGTCAGGCCATCACTAGACCATATGTTTGTTGTCCTTTGACATGCACCAAGTCAGGCCATCACTAGACCATATGTTTGTTGTCCTTTGACATGCACCAAGTCAGGCCATCACTAGACCATATGTTTGTTGTCCTTTGACATGCACCAAGTCAGGCCATCACTAGACCATATGTTTGTTGTCCTTTGACATACACCAAGTCAGGCCATCTTTGTTGTCCTTTATTGTAAAGGTATTTTTATGGAGTAGTGTGTTGGGTGGTTAGAGTGATCAGTTGCACTTCCCAATTAAAGAATAACATTACAGTGCACTGTTTAAAGAGTTGCCACTGTCAAATCCAATATTTACTGTGACATCTTTTCAAATCCAATATTTATTGTGACATCTCTTCAAATCCAATATTTACCGTGACATCTCTTCAAATACAGTTCTATTATTATTCCTGTTCTATACAATTTATGTTATTAAGGGTAGTTTTAAAAATTTTCAAAATAATACCTTTTCAATATCCCAAAAATTGTGTGATTGTGATTGCACAAAATTGTTGCTAATGACACCTTGACAACAGACAACACCTAGTTATCTCCCTTGCAACATAAGGTATCTAGAGCCAAAGGGATAATAAGTTATTTCATTTTTGCTGTCTTTTTTAGGTATTTATGGAGGAATGAGGGCAGCCATGGCATTGAGACCACTGCTCAGTGAAATAGGAACATTATCTGTCTCTAATATATTTGGGATTCCAGAAGTTCACAAAGCCCTGGACGAGGAAGGTGCCCCCAAAAATGACCATATGGAAAAAGGTGCAGGCAAACTTCTCGACCAGTTAGATTGGTATGCAACGGCCATGAAAAATCATAGGAACACTGCAGGAGTACCTCAATAAATTGTCTTTTCATTTTAGGACTTAGTCAAAATCTAGATATGAATTTTTGTTGTTTTAAAGTTGAAGTTTACTCGGTTATTACTGATTGTTTGAATATATACTAAATATATTTGCAGTGCAATGATTTTAACAAAAATCTAATTACTGTAAACCAACTGATTTTCACATATACTTTATTTCTAGTTAAGCCCTAAGCAATTTAATTTCAATATTTTCAAGTGTACTTGATGTAGTAAAATAAAGAAAGATTTGAAAGTTAAATTTACATACTGTATTCAAGATGATTTTTATTCATGTTATTTTTCTACTTGATTAAATCGTTCACGAAAATTAGTTGGTTTACAGTGTTTAGTTACAAGGCTTGAAATTAATGCTAGCAAACTGGCAAACATGCAAGATGAAACTTTCAGACTCTTACCCTTTGTTTGTTGCAAAAAAAGTGACTAGCAACAGTTTGGTTTTATGCCAAGTTTGAATAAAAGCAACAATATTGACTATTATTGGAATTTAAATGATAACAAATGTCATTTCAGAAGTGTTAAAGTTTCTTAGTTTTTCTTTATAGTACAGCTTCAAATTACCATTTCACATGCAACATTATAATATGTGAGTTTTGGTAAAAGTAAACAAATTATAATGGGTTAGCAAATGTATGATAGTAAGATTTAAGTATATATTTACTAGCAAAATTTGCTTCTTGTGTTATTTTCTTGCCCTGAGACATAATTATTATATTTTCTACTTGGTTAATAGAGTTTACCATGTTAATTATGTAGTATTATTTTTTCTTGTAATATAGTTTAAACATTTCATTATTAATTGTTACGATTAAGAGTCAAACCTGCTATAAAGGTCACCTTGATTTATAAAGGAAAAAAATTCTCGTCAGATCACCCTCTTCATTTCCTGCTAGTAATACATATGAAACAACAGGATCCAACAGCATGGAGACCTTATTGACGCAAAAAAGATGGAGATGGATTGGCCATGTTCTTAGAAGACCAGCAGAGGACTTGACCAGAGTTGCCCTAAGATGGACACCTGAGGGGAAAAGAAAGAAAGGACGCCCCAAAACAACTTGGAGAAGAACAGTTGAAGCTGAAATGAAAGAACATGGAATCAGCTGGGGCGAAATAGAAAAGAAAGCACAGAACAGAGATGAGTGGAAAGATCTAGTCCTTGCCCTATGTGCCTCCGGGCATAATAAGGACTAGGTAGGTAGGTAAGGTAATACATATGCATTTTAAACATCAATTAAAAGGTTACTTACAATAACATAAACAGCACCAATTGTATTGCAGCAGATGCTAATAGACCCAAATATTTAAAAATCCAAAATTTATTCAAAAATTAAAGAGCTGTTAAAACCAAAAAATACAAAAAGTAAAGCCAAAGCTGGGCAAGGAAGCTTTGTATGAGGAAGATATATTCTTTAATTTAAAATATTTTCCAAAATTTTGTAACAAATTTCAATAAGGCAAGTTTTCTCTAGTTACAACGGTGACCTTTATATGCAGGTTTGACTGTATATGGAAATAAATGTACTAAACATCCATTGCATAATATTGATCATATAAATGTCAACAATGATAGGGGAGGTAATTGAGAATAATATATTTTATTTTATATATATTTTAGGTCTTAGATATTAATTTCGTATTCATTTTTAGAAATGTTGTAAGACAGGGATACAAGTGGGATGAGCTAAGAGAAATTAATATCGTGTAAAAATTTGGCACACGGATAACTAATTTATACAACTTGGTAAATAATGTGCCATTACATTAAATCTGTCATTAACAATATTTTCATAATCATCTATCAACTTTTCATAAGACAGTGACCATTCATAATTTCTTCTTTTTTCTGGGGGAGGTTTTTTTTTAATGATTTTTTTTTTCTGAATTTCTTGAAAAATAATTATTTGTCCTTAGGGAAAAAACATGCCCCCCCCCTTTCCCCCTAAAAAAAGATATGTGCCTAAATTTAGAGACATTTGTAATGTTTTGCTCATTATGATGAGTGATTGTTAACTGAATCACATTGTGTGAACTGTAACATAGCAATTTTTTAACAATGGTAAATTCCAACTAAGTGTATATCTAACAGTATTGAATGCTTTCCATTTTAAATTTTCCTTGGAGTTTGGTATTTTTGTTATTTTACTTTTTATTGTGCTTTTAATGTGCAGATATTTCAGTATGAACCAACATTTCTCAGGACTATTTTTTAGGGGAATGATATGTCATGAAATAATTTTTTGAGTGGAATGAAGTGTCATGACATTATTCTTGGAGTGTCAAAAAATGTTATGACATTATTCTTGGAGTGTAATAAAAAGTGTAATAAAATGTCATGACATTATTTTTTAAGTGGTATAAAATGTCATGACGTTATTCTTGGGGTGGTATAAATTGTCACGACACTATTCTTGGAGTGGTGTAAAATGTCATGACATTATTCTTGGAGTGATGTAAAATGTCATGATATTATTCTTGGAGTGGTATACATTGTCATGATATTATTCTTGGAGTGGTATACAATGTCATGACATTTTTCTTGGAGTGGTATACAATGTCATGACATTATTCTTGGAGTGGTATACAATGTCATGACATTATTCTTGGAGTGGTATACAATGTCATGACATTATTCTTGGAGTGGTATACGATGTCATGACATTATTCTTGGAGTGGTATACAATGTCATGACATTATTCTTGGAGTGGTATACGATGTCATGACTTTATTCTTGGAGTGGTATAAGATGTCATGACATTATTCTTGGAGAGGTATACAATGTCATGCATTTTTTTCATGGAATGATCATAACAATAGCAATTTTTGATATTGTTGTAATTTCATAGTATTTTCTTACATAAATGTTTTAAATGAAACATTGCATAATTAAAATGATACCTCAATCAAAAGTTTAATGTGACAGTTTCAAGGCAGTAGTTAAGGGACTGTTGGAACTTGGACTGCCAGTGAACAGTTGACCACCAACCTACATTTTATTTGCTATTAACATCATGACATTATGACATTGATCTATTGCCACTGTACTTATGTAATAATAATTTCTCAGCCAGTTTATTTAATAGAAATTTGGTTAGATCTGATTTTTTTTTTGCCATTGTAATGGGCTCAGTGATAAGGTTTGATAAGGGTTACCTTATCTCTGGTGATATTCAGTTTACAATTGACTATTATATGTTGTTTATTTAGAAATTTTTGCATTTTTTTCAATTCTTGGGAAAAATATGATTGAATTTATCAGTTAATTAAAGGTCTTAATTTACATTCAAATTTTATTATTTATATGTAGCATTTTCTAAAATACTTTTAAATTAATCTCACATATTTTGTGTGTTTATCAACATTTACATTTTTAAATGAACACATTAATTTCTGTGTTTACAGTGTATATTTAGTGATATTTTAGTTCTTTTTTACTTATTTATCATTTCTACTTTTTGTATGTTTTCTTTTAGATGTTTTTTTTTGTTTAAATAATGATATGTGTTCATTTTCCATGAATTAAAATAATCCAGTTGCAATCCGTACTTTAGTTTTGATTATATGCTATAGATCAGAGCTAAGTTATTATGTTCGTTTGTTTTGTTAAACACATTTTTGTCAATATAATGAAATTTTATGCAACTGTCATACAAGTGAGAGGTTTGGCTAGCTGTAAAACCAGGTTTAATCCACCATTTTCTACATAAGTAAATGCCTGTACCAAGTCAGGAATATAAAATTTGTTTTTTATTCGTTTGATGTGTTTGAGTTTTTAATTTTGCCATTTGATAAGAGAATTTCCATTTTAAATTTTCTTTGGAGTTTAGCATTTTTGTTATTTTAATTTTTATGACAATTGGATTTATTGATTGTTGCTTGTTTGAAGTCTAGTGGCAACTATTTTATGCATATTTAGGACGAGAAACTATTTACCATTCATGCAATACGTAGGTCCTGCAAGGGATGAACGGTTAGAAATTTCGACCACCAGTGGAAAATAAGGTTGATAAAAACAGAAATTCATCCTTGCCACAGGCCCCTACAGACCCTTATGACAATCAAAATCTATGTTATTATTATTACATACAAAGCTCAGATTTATATCCATGAGACAGCAACACATCAATACAAACAAAAAAAATATTTTTTTGAATAATGGAGATATTAGGTATAGGTCAATGAGATAGTAAACTAATGACCGGGTTGTTGCGGGGGACATAGAAATACTGGGCTTCCATCCATCTGTCCGGTCTTGTTAGCACTCTCACATGTACAATTCTTGCCAGATTTTTATGAAACTTATATCATAGGCTTATATCAGCAATGTCTTGGACAAGTTCGAAAATCAGTGCCGATCAACTATTTTTAAAAGAGTTATACCCCTTGGAAACATTAATTATATGGAAAATTGCATAGTTAGTGCTCTCATCTTGCCAGAAACTTGACATTGACCACTGACCCAAGAAAATGAGGTCAAGGTCAGATGAACTTGTCAGACAGACATGGACACCTTACAATCATTATCTATATAAACAGGACTTACTACTTGTAGCATTAGAAAAACAGACAACCAGGAAAATTTGACATTGACCACTGAACCATGAAAATGAGGTCAAGGTCAGATGAACTTGTCAGATAGACATGGACACCTTACAATCATTATCTATATATACACGACTAAATACTTTGTAAGGTCAGATGAACCCTGCCAAACAGATATTTAAACTTTACAGTCATTTCATACAACAAATAATTGACCAACTGCTTATACAGTTGAACCTCATTGTGTCAAATTCGAAGGGACTGAACAAAAGTATTCCACTTATCCGATGTTGAGTGTGTGTCATAAATTTTGAACCCATGAAATACAGTATGAGATTTGTGTTAACTAGATATTTTGAAACAGTATGCCTTTTTTATATGACACTTTATGGCTGGTATTCAATCTCCATATTTTTTGGTCCCTCCTAATAATTAAACACACAAGGACAGATACAAAACATTCACAAATAAAATCAATACACAAATATTTACAAAGGTCAGTCACCATAAATTATGAAATTCCTCGTGGATGGAAACAAGTTTAGAAAGATCTCTGATGATAGTGGGTCGTCTGCTTTGCATTTAATTATTATAAATTAATCATAATTGTCTTGATCCTTTTATTTATTGTAATTAATGGATTTTTGTTCTAACGATTCATTTAATCTCGGTTAGGTCATTTAAATTCATTTCGTTTTTATGTCAGGTTAAATATGTCCAACACACTATAGTTCCGCTTGGACAATCAACAAAGGTGTTAATTACTGGTCACCATAAACATCTCGTTTTTAATTGTTATCCAAACAAGTATGTTTACACAGCTTTAATCTAATTTGAAAATGATTAGGTTGCATAAGATTTGAATTATTATTGTTAAGTGTGCATCTTTAAAAATTTCATAATTTCAAACTTCAAATCATCGGCGTCAATTAACATTAATTTTACATCGACGGGCTATAAAGTTTACTTGACTTAACAGAGTATTTGAATCAACCAAGTTCGACTCATCAGAGGTAAATATGCATTGACGAAACAGGAATTTTATAGGGACCAAGAAATTACTTAAGACTCATCCGAGTTTTCGACACAATGAGGTTCGACTGTAGCATATTAGAAAATAAACAAACTACAGTAACTAAACACTGACCAATGAACAATTAAAATTTGGTCATGGACAAATGCAGCCTGCAAAACAGACATATCACCTAACGATCATTCCATACACCACAGTAAAAATATTGCCTATTAAATCTGAGAAACATACCAAATTACAAAACATATTACTGTAATAAGGGAGAAAGTACCAAGACAAAAAAAAAACTATACAATTTTTTAATCTGTTGCTAAACTGTGAAAAAGAGGTCAAGGACAATGGACATATGACAAACAAGAACATCTTTATACAATGGTTATATTTTAACAAACCATGTGTTGAAGGACAAAGAATTGGCTTTATATTTCTTTATTTGGTCTTACTTTTGTCTGCAGTTGTTTTTGTTTTCTCCTGATGTGAACATGTTTATTATTATTTTACAATTTGATTTGGTTGAAATGTATAGCAAATTTCCAAACAAAAAAATATTTCTTGTGGCTATTTCATCAGAAAATGCGAACTTTTCACACCAAACCAAATAAGCAAATAAACCTTGACAATTTTGCTTCTATTGGTACCAAGTTCTTTAAAATCCTACTAGAAGCAACCTCACACTATTTTTTTAAAAGAAAAAACCCAAAGTTTTTAATTATATTGCAAAAAAATTGTAGGCAACAAATACTTTTTTAACACTGATAGTACATGAAAAGACAAAGTAATTTCATAGAATAAAACACAAATCCAGAATAGTTTTAATAATTTTAATTTTTTAAGAAATATACTCTTGTTTATCAAACACATTTTGGCACATATAAATACATCACTCATTCTATTCTACACCTGCCATAGCATGAATACAGAAATACACTGTATACATATCAAACTCCTTTGTGTCAAAACAGGGATACAGTTTGCAACAAAATATCTATTACATTATCCTTTACTGTCAAAGCAGGGTAACAGAGAAATACACAGTATACATATCAAACCCCTATGTGTCAAAACAAGGATACAGTTTGCAACAAAATATGCATTACATTATCCTTTACTGTCAAAGCAGGGTAACAGTTTATGCAGAAATATGCAGAATCTTAACACTGATTTTAACAACAAAGATAAAGTTTTGCAAAAATAAAAACTAGCATTTTTTAATTTCAATAGTTAATCACCATTTTCTGAAATCCCTATAATTAATGTTGCATTTGTGTCCATACACCAATCTTGAGTTGTTTTTTATGAATGAGGTGTGAATGACATTATTGAACAATCGGTTCTTACTGTGATGTAATAAGATAAGCATTGTGTCTATGACATTGTGACATGGGAAAGGTACGGAAAGTGCACAAATTTGAAAGTAGTCTATAGTTCGACAATATCCATAATAAATGCTCACAATAATTTCTGAATTTACAGTAATTGATGAAACTAAAATCTAATAAGTAGTAATAAAAAAACTTTCTTTTGACCATAATAGTCAATTAAAAAAAATTATTTCAGATCATTCAAACAAGTAAACAAACAAATAGATAACATTATCACCCTAATGATTCTATATAAACTAATACACACATAAAACATTATAGTATACAAAAGTACTAACACATCCTGATAAAAAAAAAATTACACAATGATCCTTGTATATTATTAAGCTTCTATGAATATTCAGTAGGTATAAACATCACCTGACTTAATTCTAGCATTTGATTTTTCCACTACTATTAGCATTTAAAATCTGAGTGATTTCTTTCTCATTGCACTATCACCCTGTGTATATAGTATAAAACAGAACTTAAGCACCAAATATGACCACCTGTTTTAAACAGGTTCAAATATGAAATGGGAGAATAAAAATAAGGGATGAAGATAACTTTACAAATCTAGCTAACAATAAAAATTCAAATATATCTCTAATTCGCCATTTCAGAATCTAATGCATTCTGGGTAATATTTGCAAAAGTGTACACCAGAATGTCGTGATTGGTTAAAAACATCATAAACAATGAAAATTCAACCCATGACGTGACGTTATTTTCATTTTGGGGTACAAACAATGAAATTACCCATGATCCTTAAGATTCTGAAACGGCCAGTTCTCCATAGTTTGAACTGGTTCCGACCAGTTGGATATTTTTTTTATTATAAACAACATGTTGATTAATGGTGAATGTGATTTCCCATTTAATCAGATGAAGTTATTATATATATTAAGTTTTCTCCGGAAATAATCACTTCTAGCTTTTATTTCACAATTATTTTAAGACATTTGAATACTTAAGACTTCCAAGTTACCTCCCTTGGGTGTAATAGCCATATGAACCCATAGAAAGAAGATTGAATTTAATATGAAAATGAAATAAAACTGTTTTCTACATTTCAATTTCCCTAAGGCTCACTGCCTATTTCAATGTAGAACGTGCGTTGTGTTGGCCCTGATTAAAAATGTCAAATGATATGTATGATATTTTGTCAAAAATTTGTCATATTTGCTATACATAATGCATGCAATGATTCTGCATGTTACATGAATATGTGCAGAGTCAAAATGAAGGAACAACCATTTTTTTTTTGATAGGCCTCACCAAGCTCATTTCCAGAATGATGAACCTAACTTTAGGCAATTCAAAAGAGATAAATCATAAATTAGAATGCTATAATAGCTCCTGATAGCAAATCAAAGGAACTAAATCTGTTCCAAAATTCATGATTGCTGGGTGGTGAGGGGATGGGAGGCCCTCAAATTAATAATAATGGGTGTTTGCCTTAGAATTTTGTAGGAATTATGAGTTTAATGAAACCTTTATAATATAGGCTGTTGGGGTTTTAAAAAAGCCCTCCCATGCCCCATACACATTTAATTCTGTAACATCCTAAACTAAAAACAAAAAAATTAGGTATCATTAAAACAGACATATTTTCAAACCAGGAAGTTAAATAAGTCTACATTGAAAATGAAACAGTTTATGTCATGATTTTTGTCAAACAAAAAATCGTCTCTGAATTACTTATTTGGCTTGATAATTCCGTACTCCTCTGCCTTTTTCAAACATTGTACACAAAGTTCTTTTGCACGCTGTCGCTCGGGTTCATTAAGAATTGATATAGCCATTAGAATTTCTAACATTTGTCCTTCTAACAATTTTTCAGCTATTTCTTTGTTAGAATTAATCAAGTTTACCATGATGTAACATCCTCGATGCTGGATTTCTACATTCTCATTCACAAGAAGAGACTGCAGCATTTCCATATGAGGTTTGACCTGCAAATAAAAAGAATTGCTTAATAACAAACTTAACACATATTCAGAGCACCCAAATTGTGAATGTTTTCCTTCAAACCTTTGACCTCCCATCATTTGCTTTAAAAAATCTTAATGAGAGTCCTGCTCTTCTTTAAAACTTTAGTAGGCCGAACTGAATTATAAAAAGTGTGGCATAAATCTTATCAAAGACATTGTTTTGGTCATATGTAAAGGTCATACAAAAGTAAAAACAATTCTTCATTATAATAATATGAAAATAAGGAGATGTGGTATGATTGTTAAGTTAACAAATATCCACCAGACACCAAAAGACAGGGATTTTAACGACTATAGGTCACTAATGACCAAAACCCATACCATAAAGTAAGCTACAAAAGGCATCAATTTGATAACATGTGAAAAGATAAAACCAACGACCTGATTTATGCTTAGTACAAAAAACTAAAAACATCATTAAAGTCAACAAAATAGAAATATGTGTATGTATTTTTTTATATAGTAATAATGACAAGATTGACTGTCTAAAAATTTTTTTGACAGATACAAAAGCTATCTCAATAATTACTGATGGTCATTTTCACCACTGCAGTCATTTATCAGTAACTGACAAGGAAAATAACTCTTAACTCTACTATAAAAGTAACTGATAAGGGAAATAACTCTTAACTCTGCTATAAAAGTAACTGATAAGGGAAATAACTCTTAACTCTACTATATAAGTAACTGATAAGGGAAATAACTCTTAACTCTAATATAAAAGTAACTGATAAGGGAAATAACTCTTAACTCTACAAAAAAGTAACTGATAAGGGAAATAACTCTTAACTCTACTTTAAAAGTAACTAATAAGGGAAATAACTCTTAATTCTACTATTAAAGTCACTGAAAAGGAAAATAACTCTTACCTCTAGTACTTTTTTACACACTATTTCACTGTGTGACAGGACAGCTAGGGATCCTGCAGCAGCCCTGACAAGTAATGGGTCATCTTCATCACCACAATATAATACCAATAACTTAACTCTGTCGTTCTCTCCTTCAAATAATTTTACAACCTGATAAAAAAACAACAAAAAGAATATTAACAGATGTTGTAAAAATTTCAGTGAGAAAAAGACAAAGATATATTTGTCGTCATCAAGCATAATTCTAAAAATCTTTTGAATAAGGCAAGATAATCATTCATCGTCACAACAACATGGGCCAAATTGTAGGATTTTATTCTTTCTTTCAATAAATGTCATAAAAAAAAACACCTTTTTTTTAAAATTCTAATGCTTGTAAATTCTTGTTTTTTTTTCATCTAAGTGAAATCACAATAACTAATCTCACATTTAGTCCATAGTCTAACAATCATAATAATACATCCAAACAAACTTTTTTGCATTTACAGTATTCTTTTTATAAACATTTCACTGACTTTCTCAATTCTGATATAGAAATTACACATTGAACAATCAGTGTTAAAACATTAACAATGAGATCACACATATCATGAATTGAGTAAGACATTCAAAAAGAGGGAGGAATGTTATAATACTCACCTCATCACTCATGACCAAATTGCACATACACTCTGTGGATGCTCTCTTTAATAACTCATGTTCTTCAAACATGTAATGCTCTATCTTTGAAAATCCTTTCTCTGCAAGAATCCTTTTCCTAAAATATACAAAAGTTAACAGACTTTACTTGATGTTCTATAGGTAAATATATGTCCACGTTCTAAGCTTGTTTTAATACTTACAAGCTAATTCAATGACTATTTTTTTAGGAGGGTTAAGAAAATCATTCCATAGGACCCCCTCTACGTCCATAACTAGCCCCTTGTAGATGACTTAGAAATATGCACACACAAAAAAATCATGTGCATGGCCCAAGTCAGCAATCTTGTCACTTGTGTCATATCTTAAATAACACAGTATTCCTGAAGTGAGCAGATATTGTCCTCAATATGCATATTACATTCAACATTGGGCATATAGCAGCAGTAAATCAATCAATCATGAAGAGAACGGAGAAAATCAGAAGTTTAATAAAGTTATGGTATTAATTTTGCAGTAACATCCTGGTCTATAAGTTTACCACATAGTCACTTATTTACAGAGTCCTTAAACATGTTACATTTGTTCTTATTCACTAAAGTAATTTTACCTGACAGATTCACTAATCGATGACAAATTTGTGAGTGCTAACAATGCTTCAAAATTCTCTAATGCTGTACATTCTAAATGTAAAATGCTTAACAATGGTCTCACTAATTCATACATCTGGAAAAGAATTAATAATGTGTCAGTAACATTAATAAATTATGTTAAATAAAATGCTCCGCAGGGCGCAGCTTGATACGACCGCAGAGGTCGAACCCTGAACAGTTGGGGCAAGTATGGACACAACATTCAAGCTTGATACAGCTTTGCATTTGGATTGTGATTAAATATTTGACACAGCATAGGTTTCTGACACAGAATGAATGTGGTCTAAGAACTTAAAAATTTTAAATTGGACATTCACCTATTATGGTCCAATATCCAAAATCTAAATACATGGTTAGATTCAGCATATCAAAGAACCCCAAGAATTCAATTTTTGATGAAATCAAACAAAGTTTAATTTTGGACCCTTTTGACCTCAATGTGGACAAAGTTGATAACGGGGCCCAAAAATCAAAAATCTAAATACATGGTTAGATTCAGCATATCAAAGAACCCCATATATTTAATTTTTGTTGAAATCAAACAAAGTTTAATTTTGGACCCAGATTTGGACCAACTTGAAAACTGGGCCCATAATCAAAAATCTAAATACATGTTTAGATTCAGCATATCAACGAACCCTAAGAATTCAATTTTTGTTAAAATCAAACTAAGTTTAATTTTGGACCCTTTGGACCTTAATGTAGACCAATTTGAAAACGGAACCAAAAAATTAAGAATCTAAATACACGGTTAGATTCGGCATATCAAAGAACCCCAATAATTCAATTTTTGATGAAATCAAACAAAGTTTAATTTTGGACCCTTTTGACCTCAATGTGGACCAATTTAAAAACGGGGCCCAAAATCCAAAAACTAAATACACGGTTAGATTCAGCATATTAAAAAACCCCAAGAATTCAAGAATAAAACCCCATTGAAATTGGTCAAGAAATAAGCAATTTATACGAAGTATCTTCTTTTGTACAATACTGTGCAATTAAATATTTCTTGCTATTGCGCAATACTGTACAATTGACAATTTCTTGCTATTGCGCAATATTGTGCTATTGGATATTTCTTGCTATTGCGCAATACTGTGCAATTGAAGATTTCTTGCTATTGCGCAATACTGTGCAATTGAAGATTTCTTGCTATTGTGCAATACTGTGCAATTGAAAATTTCTTGCTATTGCACAATACTTATTATATAATAATTTACACATCCTGTTTGGTGTGTTTCTCCTACCATATCATTATTATTTGCTTTTAAATATAAATCAGAAATAACCAACTTAAAATGGAAAATTTTAAAAGAAAAAACAAGGAAAAAAAGAAAAAAAAAGGAAAAAAAAAAAATCCCCCCCCCAAATTTTTTGAACCCCCTTATGATTCATCACCCCCAAACTCAATCCCAGCCTTCCCTTTGTGGTATGGTACCTTGCAGTACAATTTCAGAGAGATCCATACACTTGAACACAAGTTATTGTCTGGAAACTAGAAAAATGTGTTTTTTGGCCCCTTTTTGGCCCCAAATTCCTAAAATATTGAGGCAATTACCCCCATCATCAATCCCAGCCTTCCCTTTGTGGTATGGTACCTTGCAGTATAATTTCAGAGAGATCCATACACTTACACACAAGTTATTGTCCTGAAACTAGAAAAATGCTTGTTTTTTGCCCCTTTTTCGCCCCTAATTCCTAAAATATTGAGGCAATTACCCCCATCATCAATTCCAGCTTTCCCTTTGTGGTATGGTACCTTGCAGTACAATTTCAGAGAGATCCATACACTTGAACACAAGTTATTGTCTGGAAACTAGAAAAATGCTTATTTTTGGCCCCTTTTTGGCCCCCAATTCCTAAACGTTTCGGCAATTACCCCCAAACTCAATTCCAGCTTTCCCTTAGTGATATGGAACCTTGTAGTACAATTTCAGAAAGATCCATACACTTGAACACAAGTTATTGTCATGAAACTAGAAAAATGCTTGTTTTTGCCCCTTTTTTGGCCCCTAATTCCTAAAATTTTGAGGCAATTGCCCCCAAAATCAATCCCAGCATTCCTTTTGTGATATGGAACCTTGTGGTACAATGTCAGAGATATCCATACACTAACACACAAGTTATGTCTGGAAGTTACAAAAATGCTTATTTTTGGCCCCTTTTCGGCCCCTTATTCCTTTACTGTTGGTACCATAACCCCCAAAATTAATCCCAACCTTCCTTTTGTGGTATTGAACCTTGTGGTAAAATTTCATAGAGATCCATGCACTTAAACTAAAGTTAGAGTGCGAAAACCAATGTGTCTTCGGACGACGACGACGACGCCAACGTCATACCAATATACGACCACAAAAATTTTTTTGCGGTCGTATAAAAAAATTCAGAAAACTTTACTCCAACTAACTACCGGTAGTCTACTTAAAAAATCAACTTTAAATCTACAGTGCTTGTAATTGATTTGCTTTAACATTATTTTCTGTATAAATATGTATATTATTTTACATCATGTGTCTGTAATACAGTAAAACTCCAGCCTTACAACAAAAAGTTGACCTAAAGTCATATATACAACAGTTTTCAAAAGCAGTTTCTTTCCACAAGAACAACAGAGCAACTGTACATAATGTAAGTTTAACTTGGGTTTATTATTGGGTTTATTACTAATACACTCAGGCACACATTGTGTGCAACAAGAGCAACAGAATATAGTATACAAAATATTAAATTGGTCAATAAATATGACAAAGAAAGAAACTAGAGGCTCTCAAGAGCCTGTGTCACTCACCTGTATTTACTGATGCTTTGGAAATCATGTAAATTAAGGTTAAAATCATAATTAATAGTATTAGATATTAGATATTATAATGATATCTAAGATAATAACAAAAAACTGCAAAATTTTTGTAAAATTACTAACTCAGGGGCAGCAACCCAACAACGGGTTGTCGGATTCGTCTGAAAATTTCAGGGCAGATAAATCTAAATCTGATGAACATTTTTGCCACCTGTCAGATTTGCTCTAAATGCTTTAGTTTCAGAGATATACACCAAAAAATGTATTTTACCCCTATGTTCTATTTTTAACCAAGTCGGCCATGATGGTTGGAAGGCGGGGTCATCGGACAAATTTTTTAAACTAGATACCCTAATAATGATTATGGCCAAGTATGGTTAAATTTGTCTCAGTAGTTTCAGAGAAGAAGATTTTTGTAAAAGATTACAAAAATTTACAAAAAATTGTTAAAAATTGACTATTAAGGGCAATAACTCCTAAAGGGGTCGACTGACAATTTTGGTCATGACAACTTATTTGTAGATCTTACTTTGCTGAACATTATTGCTGTTTACAGTTTATCTCTATCTATAATAATATTCAAGATAATAACCAAAAACTGCAAAATTTCCTTAAAATTACTAATTCAGGGGCAGCAACCCAAAAACAGGTTGTCAGATTTGTCTGAAAATTTCAGGGCAGATAGATCTTGACCTGATAATCAGTTTAATCCCATGTCAGATTTACTCTAAATGCTTTGGTTTCAGAGATATAAGTCAAAATCTACATTTTACCCCTATGTTTTATTTTTAGCCATGGCGGCCATCTTGGTTGGTTGGTGGGGTCATCGGACACATTTTTTAAACTATACACCCTGATGATGATTGTGGCCAAGTTTGGTTAAATTTGGCCCAGTGGTTTCAGAGGAGAAGATTTTTGTAAAAAGCTATAGACGACGGACGACGACGGACGCCGGATGACGGACGCCAAGTGATGAGAAAAGCTCAATTGGCCCTTCGGGCCAGGTGAGCTAAAAACGCAACCCTTTTATCACTACATGTGAAAAAGAGGTTTTCAGTATTTGTGAAATAAGTTCAGGATAGTGCAAGTGTAGAATAAAATTTTCAAGATAGGTTATTAATACAGCGTTTATGCACTTCGCATTGAAGATAATATTTGACAGGTTTTACGAATCAGGTTCGTCAGAATTAAATCTGTTCCGCTTTAGACTTTTCCGTTGTTTTGTTTTGGTTAACAAAATACTCTTGTACTCACTCTTTGACCAGGAAAAATTGTCTGTGGGTTCATGGTGATGGAAAGTGTAGCTAAGGCATGTGATCATTTAAGAAAATACTCACTCTCTGAACAGGGAAAGTTGTCTGTGGGTTCATGATGATGAATAGTTTAGCTAAGGCTTGTGATCATTTAAGGAAATACTCACTCTTTGACCAGGGAAAGTTGTCTGTGGGTTCATGGTGATGAATAGTTTAGCTAAGGCATGTGATCATTTAAGGAAATACTCACTCTCTGAACAGGGAAAGTTGTCTGTGGGTTCATGGTGATGAATAGTTTAGCTAAGGCATGTGATCATTTAAGGAAATACTCACTCTCTGAACAGGGAAAGTTGTCTGTGGGTTCATGGTGATGAATAGTTTAGCTAAGGCATGTGATCATTTAAGGAAATACTCACTCTCTGAACAGGGAAAGTTGTCTGTGGGTTCATGGTGATGAATAGTTTAGCTAAGGCATGTGATCATTTAAGGAAATACTCACTCTCTGAACAGGGAAAGTTGTCTGTGGGTTCAAGGTGATGAATAGTTTAGCTAAGGCATGTGATCATTTAAGGAAATACTCACTCTCTGAACAGGGAAAGTTGTCTGTGGGTTCATGGTGATGAATAGTTTAGCTAAGGCATGTGATCATTTAAGGAAATACTCACTCTCTGAACAGGGAAAGTTGTCTGTGGGTTCAAGGTGATGAATAGTTTAGCTAAGGCATGTGATCATTTAAGGAAATACTCACTCTCTGAACAGGGAAAGTTGTCTGTGGGTTCATGGTGATGAATAGTTTAGCTAAGGCATGTGATCATTTAAGGAAATACTCACTCTCTGAACAGGGAAAGTTGTCTGTGGGTTCAAGGTGATGAATAGTTTAGCTAAGGCATTTGATCATTTAAGGAAATACTCACTCTCTGAACAGGGAAAGTTATCTGTGGGTTCATGGTGATGAATAGTTAAGCTAAGGCATGTGATCATTTAAGGAAATACTCACTCTCTGAACAGGGAAAGTTGTCTGTGGGTTCATGGTGATGAATAGTTTAGCTCAGGCATGTGATCATTTAAGGAAATACTCACTCTCTGAACAGGGAAAGTTGTCTGTGGGTTCATGGTGATGAATAGTTTAGCTAAGGCATGTGATCATTTAAGGAAATACTCACTCTCTGAACAGGGAAAGTTGTCTGTGGGTTCATGGTGATAGAAAGTTTAGCTAAGGCATGTGATCATTTAAGGAAATACTCACTCTTTGACCAGGGAAAGTTGTCTGTGGGTTCATGGTGATAGAAAGTTTAGCTAAGGCATGTGATCATTTAAGGAAATACTCACTCTTTGACCAGGGAAAGTTGTCTGTGGGTTCATGGTGATAGAAAGTTTAGCTAAGGCATGTGATGCTTTGATTAGTCCTTTCTCTGTATTGTTCTCTATGGCTAACTTCAGCAAAGCCTGAAAGTATAGTAAAAAATAAAATACAATGCAAAACAGACAGAAATATTCATGAACCACAATAAATATTGAAACATAACACATTTTTTAAATTCATGTGGAACTAATCAGGTTTACACTGTTTTTAATTCTTTGTTTCATATGATATTTGTATTTAACTGTGACATTATTGTGATATTATGGTAATATACTAATACTGATTTACTTAGCCATGTTCAAGATGTGTGAAGTTGAAGATTTGTAGCTCTACTTTTTTCTGTTTAAAATTCCATCATTTTTGGCTATTTATAATTCATTCATTTCAATTTTATCAATTTTGTTTTGGTAGTGAGAGTTGTTCAATCAAAACATATATTGTATGGTCTTTAAAAATGAAGTTAGCACCTATACAGGAAATTTTAGATAATCATTTACATTTTCACTGTACAAAAAAGTATTTTACACCAAACTATAGGAAAGGATTCTGAAGTGGCTTAACTAGGTCCCATGTACATGTTATTATGGAACTGCTTCTTCTGCACAAGTACTTCTATTTATTCATTTAGAATTTTGAGGTTTGTGAAAATTATTTTCCTGGTTGTTTGTTGAATTCATGGTCACTTTCTGATTTTGCAGAAAACAAAAATAGAAAGATGGACAAATGTATAATGTCCAGCAACAAATCGTATATGCATATCATCGACAAGAACATGTGAATAAGATATGTACTTGAACTCTACTTTGTAATACACAGACACACACTGATTGTACCAATTTCCTCCTGTGTCTGAGGCACCCACACTACAAAAACATCCCCAAGGCAGTTCACGAAAATAATGAAAGAGATATATGTATTTTGTTGTGTATCAAAATTCTGGGTTTTGTTCCCACCATGAAATTCATAAACATTTGTACCCAAGGATTACAGCATCTTCGCAGCATTCTTATTTTCAATTTCAATATCAATATTAATTTTTTGGCACAATAGTTTTATGTAAAACAAACCTTTGCTGCTCCTTGTTGTACAATAAGTCCTCTCAGATCTTCTTCTGTTGCTATAGCTAAATATACTCTACAAATAAGATTTAGAGGTTAACTAAATTATCAAACTTCAGACATACATCTTAATCTCTTTTTCAAACATGGAAAATTCATTGAATGTGTTTTTATACTTGGAACTGGTAAAAATCCCCCATTCTCCACACTGGCTAATGGAAAATCCATTGTCTATTGAATGTGAGATAATACTTGGATCTGATAAAATTGTCCCGTCCCCTCCATGGCTTATGGAAAATCCATTGAATGTGTTGTCATACTTCAAACTGAAAAAATGTCCCATCCTTGTCTCTGTCCTAATGGAAAATCCATTGAAAGTGTGTTCATTCTTGGAACTTATAAAATTGCCCTATCCTACATCCCTAGCATATGGAAGATCATGATAGGCCCTATAGTTTACGACTCTGTGCAAACCAGTCTTTGCTCTCCCTTCTAAACGCCACATACTTATCAGAGAAGCAGCAAATAACAATTTGGTTTGACCCTGCATACTACCAAGAGACTACTGAGGCAGATATGTCTTAACCAGCACTGTTTTTTTGCCAATATGACAAAGGTCAATATTGGCTATAAGGGGAACCAACTCATTACCTGCTGATTAATTCTCTGCTAGCCTTACTATCTGTGTTACACAAAGCTACTAAAGCACTACATACTCCAGCTTCTGCTACTTTGTGAACTCTCGCTTTAATATGTTCTGGTTTATCCTGAAAAATATATTCAATATTATGATATGAGATTTTATAAAATTTTGAATACACAGAAACACAATTATATTCCATTTCTTAATGTTTAGTTAGCTATAAAACCAGGTTTAATCCACCATTTTCTACATAAGAAAATGCCTGTACCAAGTCAGGAATATGACAGTTGTTATCCATTCTTTTGATGTGTTTGAGCTTTTGAATTTGCCATTTACTTAGAGACTTTCCGTTTAGAATTTTCCTCAGAGTTAGGTATTTTTGTAATTTTACTTTTTGCATACAATTCTCTGTCAGGACACGAAGAACCTTTATTGACAACAAGTTAGTGACATAATATCTCTGAGCTCTCAAAATTCATTTTCATGAAAATATCAAAAGAATACGAGGGAAAGAAAATAATAATAAAATAATAACTGAAAATATGTCTAAAATTTGTTTTTCTTCCAGCATTTGTTGTTTTAGGCATGTTTGGAAAACAAATGATGTTATATCACAAGTGCAAGTTTCTGTTTCAAAATTTTTTGAGATTATTGCATCTTTAAATTAATTTTTAAAAAATAATGATAAATGAATACTTTCAATTAAGAAAAAAAATCTATGAAAAACACAAATAGTAATTCAATATCTATTTGCAAAGATACATACATCTCCATGTAATCTTTCATCTTTAAACAGGTCATTTGAGAATATTCATTGCCCATTTTACAAAAAGTTAAGAGTGTATTCAATTTTTGCATTGTGATCTTCTCATTTTTATGTAGCAGCACTTGCATATGAAGTATATATCTCTCAGTTGGTATGATATTCTGAGCTTGTGTTTCTATTTAGGATGTGTTTTATAGAGGTTTGCTGCTTGGGATCTTTAGGTAAAAATAAGGCCATCTCTCCTTTGGTTGCCATAATGACTTAAATGACCATTATAAAATATTCCTCATGGCCACAATGCAATCATTTTTTCCTTGTTTGTGACTCATTACCATCAATATATGACTTATCACAAGGCCCTCGTATCAGAAAAGATGCTATGAATAAAATTGATTGTTAGTCATGTCAGAACAACTCTGTATACTTACAATTAATTTTAGTCGTAAGATTTTTGTGAAATTTAGCCCAGATTATTACATGTCATGTTTTCTAAAAGTGGTAGAATTTTTTTCTAGTTTTAAAATTTTCATATTTTTATATGTGCCTTGAAAATAGAATAAAATATTCCATCACAACATTCCACATGTAAAAGATATATAAAACTACATTTCTGACATTTATGATTTCTAAAATATATTACACCAACCAAATCATGTTTTTCAGGTACATGTTGTTTGGCAAACTTGGCGAGTTCCACCAACTCTGGTTCTACATCCTTAACATCGTAACTGTTCGTTACATTGACAAATACAGTGGCTGCTGGGTACAACACATTTTTGTCTGAGGCCTGAAATAAACAGAGAGATGATAGAGAACACAGTAATTATTTTGTAATATTGACAAAGAATGTTGGGAATGGATAATTTTTTCCAAAGGCCTATAACTGTTTAGAATGCTGATACAGTGCACATCAATTCAGTCTGTAACAATGAGGCTTAAAGATACAAATACTTTAAAACCAAGACCGGAAACTGTTGATAGAAAACACATCATTACTGTTTTTCACCTAGTCATAGACTGAGGTTTCATTGATTTTCGTGGGTATTAATTTTTCGTGGATAAGAAAATATTTACTTGGTTGAACATTCAAATTCATGGTTCACATTTACCAACAAAATCCGTTAAATAAGTATCACACAAATAATAATAAATTCACAGTACATAGTGGCTGCTTAGAAATATGTTGATGGGTATATTCTTGTCTAACTAAAAGGTACATAATAGACAGCTCATAAAAGAGTCTTCATTTATTATTTTGTACATAAATCAGGCCGTTAAGTTTTCCTGTTTGAATTGTTTTACATTTGTCATTTCGGTGGCCTTTTATAGCTGACTATGTGGTAGGGTTTTACTCATTGTAAAAGGCCGTACAGTGACCTATAGTTTGTAATTTCTGTGTCATTTGGTCTCTTTTGGAGAGTTGTCTCATTGCCAATCATACCAAATCTTCTTATTTTTATATTATCTACATAGATACCTTCATACTTTTCTTTTTGCCACAGAACCAGATGATGCTTATAGCTAGGAATAATCCTTATTGTTTGTTATCAACTTAAATTTAAATACCATAAAAGTTCATATTTGGTATTGTACTGGTCCACTTCTTGTTTGAAAAGATTGAAAAAAAGTTTGCAAGGTTGAGTGGTAATATTTATTATAGAGTTATCTCTCCTGGGTCAATTAATGAATCTGATCTAAATCATTATCAAGTCAAAATCTGCATTTCAACAAAAGGTCAAATCATTTTATATAATGACAGATTTAGGTGTAACCAAAAAAATAAGGAACTATTTGGTCTTTGGTCTTAAAATGACAATCAGAATGCAAAGTTTTGCAAAGATAAGATCAGTATTGAGATACTTAAGCAGCTTTTGAAAAAAATAAGTGTTACATTATTAAAATATAAATTCTATTTTAAAATGAAAGATACTGTTCCTTACTTCATCAATAAACTTATTTGGAGAAGAAAATAAGAAGAGAAAAGGAAACAAGAAGAAAGATTGAAGAAAAAATGGAAAAAAGAAGAAAACAAAAACAAAAAAAAACTTATTTGCCTTAGAAATAGACCATTATTAAAAACCTAAGGGCTATTCCATTAAAACGAATGTGGGAGGGTAGGAAGGGACTTTCAAAATATCGCTACAACCAAGAATCATTTTTAGACTATTTTGCATAATGGTAATAGACGCATACTGAAAAAAGACCCATGTCCCACATTCAATAATTAAACTTCCCTTCCTACCCTCCCACATACATTTTAATGGAATAGCCCTAAGGGATTTTAATGCTCAGGTATCATTAACAAATTCTTCTTTTGATATTGGCTTCTTATGTCATGTCTGCAAATTTTTCTGTTGTCCATCTCCTTATTTCTATGTTTCACATATTTGCCTTAGAAGTAGACCATTATTAAAAACTTACTGTAGTGACTTCTATAAGGGATTTCAATGCTGGGGTATCGTTAACCAATTCTTCTTTGATATCAGCATCTAAAGTCAGGTATGCTAATCCTTCTGTTGCCCATCTCCTAATTTCTATGTCCTTACTTGGATTAACTAAAAACCTAAAATGTCAACATAATTATAGAAATGAAAAGACATTTTAACAAGCCCAAACAATTAATATTGCACTGTTTGTTTGATGTTTACATTTACTCCTACTTCGTTCATTGACCTTTAAATCTATATAGGTGTGGTATGCATGGAGCCTTCTTATAGCTACTTATAATTCAAATTCTTCGATTTCTTTGGTTAGAGTACTCATGGAGCATTATGTTATTCATTGCTTATATACCACACACTTTGACAAGAGTCCAAACAACCCTTTTACCTGAAATTTCTGTTTGCTATGTATATGTTTTTGCAAGCAAATTTGAGCAGAAACTTTAAATCTACATTGACAATAAGATACTGACAAAAAAGATTTCATCACCTGATTAATGACACATGTACAATAGTACAATTTCCAAATCATTTATGAAAAATCCATAAAGCACCTGGATATATATTGCAAATTTAAAACAGCACGAATTAAGATTTTCTTGGTAAATCAAGAAAAAAAAGACGACACAAATAGTTCTGAGTTTACAGTAATCAATATTATATGGATTAGTGGATCTATACATAAATGACTTACTTTCTACAAACTTTGGCTAATGTCATTGTGGAACCTTCTGCTAGCTGTTTATCACTGGCATCAGACCCTCCCGCTGATCCTAATTTACATAAACCCTAAAAATAGAAAGAAAAATTTGTAAGGGTTCTGCGGAACCCAGTGTCTCGCCTACTTTTTCTGTTAATCGAAGGCTCAACAAAAATGAGGAAGTAAATCAATAAAAATATTCCTCTTGATACTATCTTTTGATTGTTAGAAGCTTCTGTCCAAGTTTGTTAAAAATCCAGGATAGTTTATGAATCTAATAAATGTTTAAAAACTTTAACTGCAGACTGAATGTAATGTTAACTGGAAGAAAACAAAAATTTCCTTCTAGATACTAGAATTTGATCATAAACAAGCTTCTGTCCAAGTTTGGTACAAATCCAAAATAGTATAAGAAAGTTATTAAAATTTTAAAAACTTGTGTTGTTTCCTGGCAGAAAATCTAAGTCCATTTAAAAATAAAATATGGAAAAAAATGGATTTATTTTTTTACAAAATTTCCTTCTAGATACTAGCTTTTGATCATAAACAAGCTTCTGTCCAAGTTTGGTACAAATCCAAAATAGTATAAGAAAGTTATTAAAATTTTAAAAACTTTAACCACAGAGTGAATGTGTTGTTTCCTGGCAGAAAATCTAAGTCCATTTAAAATTAAATAAGGAAAAAATGGATTTTTTTTTTTACAGAATTTACTTCTGGATACTATCTTATGATCATAAACAAACTTCTGTCCAAGTTTGGTAGAAACCCAGGACAGTTTAAGAAAGTAATTAAAATTTTAAAAACTTTAACCACAGAGTGAATGTAATATTTCCCGGCAGAAAAACTAAGTCCATTTATAAGTAAAATACAGAAAAAATGGAATTTTATTTTTACAAAATTTACTTCTGGATACTATCTTATGATCATAAACAAGCTTCTGTCCAAGTTTGGTAGAAATCCAGGATAGTTTAAGAAAGTTATTATAAAATTTCAAAAACTTTCACAGAATGAATATTTGTGGACGCCGTCGGCGTCGGCATCGGCGTCCACAAATATTCACTCTGTGGTTAAAGTTTTTGCCCACGCTGACGGAATGTAGGATCGCTATGGCTCGACAAAAACCAATGCAATAAAGTTTATTTCTAATCCACTGCAGCTACTGATATATTTGTTCAATTTAGAAAAAAAAAGTTTGATGATGGTTGTTTTTCATAGTTTCTACAATTTGGGAAAAAAAATGTAGTCACTTTTTTAGTATTGGAATCCTTATATAAGTTAAATTTCACATGAAAAAGATTATCAGTTGTCCTGTTTTCATTGTTATGTACATTGCAAACAAAAACATTACTTCACATAACAAATTGTCCTTGCATCAAAATTATTAAAGAGTATTTACAATATATTTTTTCAGAATAAATCAGACAGCCGTATGTTAGAAATAGATACAAATTATGAAATTTCTAGATAGCACATCTATTTTTTTTCTTGCACAAGGAAAAAAATCCAATTGCAAATGATATCATAAATCAAAATACCATAAATCCTTATTTTTTCCCCTTATATTTTGAGATGATCCTTAAACTTACCACAAGTGCACGAACTTTGACCTGGTCGTCTGCTTCTTTGATTAACTGTTGTAACAATGGTACAGCCTTCGCCAGTAGGCCAGTACACTTGTCCTTCTTTGAAGCAGAATGAACAATAGCTTCTACGGCTACTTGCTGAAAGTAAATCATAAATTACTCTCAGGGCTATTTCATTAAAATAGATGGGGGAGGGGAGGAAGTGACTTCCAAATCCCACTCTTACTAACATACTTTCTTGCTTGAGCAATTTTGCAAACATCAAATAGACATACAACAATAAAAGACCAACACGATTTCCAGAGCTTCCATTCCTACCCTGCAACATTTGTTTTATTGGAATAGTGATCTGCAAAATTGTTCTTTACCTAATTCATTGGTTTTTGGTTATTTTAATCAATGTGTGCTTTTCTTAATTACCTAGTTGATACTAGTTGTAATTCTATCTCATAAAATTTCTTCAGTATACTTTGGTTGTGCCATTGAGATGACATGAAGAAAACAAAATCATGTAAAATGAAATCATACAAAAAAAACAAAAATATTCATGCAGATTATTTTATAACCACAACAAACTTTGCTTACATATCGTCAAAAATAATTAGAAAAATAGAAAATAAAATTATCCTCATCATATGTTATATTACATTTCTCAATAATATCTTTATAAAACTTCAAATATTTAAAACCCTCCGTAAGAATATGTTGTATTGGATGAAAAGAATTTTTACTACTACCAAGATGTTTTTTCTCTCCAATACCACAAATATACATAAGTCCATACTTGATGTAAAAGATTATTGATTCCCTACCTAATTAAAAAAAACTGAGTTCAGGCCACAGCATACCCAGATGCACAGGCTACTTACCTGATGTAGCGGATTTTTACTGCTGGCTAAATGTAACATGATATCAGTTACACCTTCAAAACTCAGTATCACATTCCCTACTTCATATGGACCCTGTAAAACATTAAAAATATATACTTCATACATGTCATATGGACACAATAAACTTTAAAAATATATACTTCATATGGACCTATAAAACATTAAAAATTACTTTTAAACACAAAGGCTCTAACTTGTTAAAGTTTTTCATAACAAAAAATTCCTTGAAAAGACTATTTTTTCCAATGGCCTTGGAGTTGTCTTTCTTTGACATTATAACTTTGATTGCCAAACTCTTTTCTCTCCTTTTTAATCTTACATTTTTTTTGCTATAAAAACATGAAATGAAAGGTATTTGGTGAGGCACCTTCAATAATTGTAGGGAATAATCTATATTTTGATTCATACTTTATTTGGCCTTTTTAACTTTTTTTGATTCGAGCGTCACTGATGAGTCTTTTGTAGACGAAACACGCATCTGGCGCAAATACAAAATTTCAATCCTGGTATCTATGATAAGTTTATTCAAAAATCTTAAACATTGCGTGGTAAAACAAACAGATTTTTATCCACGAATATATTTATTTCTGAAATTGCACTAAGCTCAAAATGCACACATTTTCAATAATAGTTCAATACTTTAACCAAGTACCTTAATATTTCCTATATGAAACCTATAAAACAATTAAATAGAAGTATATTTTGTTCCTTAAGTTTGTAAAACAATACTTTCTATTTATGAACACCCACATCTGGGAAATCCTGTTTTTAATTTATTCCATGGCCTTTTGTTTGTGTACTTTTTAAGGACTATCAAAATATATATCGTTTCTGAGAACTTTTTTGATTTTTAAACAAGTCTATTGTTTTTGATAAAAAAAATAAAAAAATAATAATATATATATATACTATTTCAAGAATTAATTATAAATACTTGTAAAGGAATGTACCATAGCTTTAAATGACAATACATTTTGCACAACCAAACTTTCAAAGTCAACCTTAATTAAAATTCATATAATGTGAATTCATTTTTATTCGTAATTTACTTGGGAACTAAACATTAAAGCCTAACTTCTGAACACAGACTACTTGGGAATTCTGTTTGAAACAGACAACCTGTAAAAGCTACAAAAACAGGACAAAACTGATTTTATCTTAGATATAAGGTAAGTTTTCTGTTTTGATTGAAAGTAATGTAGGAGGAAGATGTTATGATGTTTTCCATGTCCTAAAAAACCAGGCAGATAAAGGAAAGGCTACCAAGTCTATATGTATGAATTCAGGGTTGTTTTTTAATAGTAGTCATATATAAATATACATAGTACCCAGAGAAGGCTCTTGAAAATGGGATACAACCTAAAGAGGCAATTATAGAATTATCTTACATTTTCATAATACAATTTCTTTTTTTAAACCTAACCATAATTCAGATTTAAGGGCCTTCCATGAGTTCCATGTATATTTTAATGGAACAGCCTTTAGGGGTTTGTCTGCCATTTAAAAAAAGTAAAACCTTTTGCCTTATTTTTTTACCATCACAACAATGGAGGAAAAAGTTTGACATAACAGACCATATCTAATTTTAGTAAAAACATCATAAAGCCAACTGGCATGAATTTGAGGTCAGTAAACTTAATGTTCTGGAAATCAAATTAACCTCACCTGTAATAAAGTAGATACTGCCTTAATGGCCTCAACTTTAGATTCATATAGGTCATCACTAAACAGTTCTCTGAAAAAGATATTCATACAAGGATAAGTAAAATGTATAAATATCTGCAATGGTTTTTCTATGGCAAAAATTGTGAGAAGATAGATTTTGCAAAAATAAGAATTTGTGCAATTTAAATTTTGATAGCAACATTTCATGAAACCACAACAATGAATCTCACATTTTTGACAAATATTCAACATGTTCAACAATGACAATAATAAAATTTTGCACTCTAGTGCTGGTTTGACTGAATCTTTTCTATATAAGTTGATAAAGCCACATCTTTGAAACTTTATGAAACAAACGAAAGTGCTAATAATCATTAGACAAAATTTTTCAAGGGTGGAGCTTATAAAATAACCATTTTAAGTTTTAGCCAGTAAAAAATATTTATTAATCTTTATACCTTTTGCAATACTCTTAAATTATGTGTGCATGTATCATAATTTTATTGGGGTGGGGGGGAGGGAGGGGGGGGGTTGAAATCTTGTTATAGTCTTTCAAAATTATACTGATTATTTGTTTGTATCCAAACTTATTTCATGTTATCTTAAAATTCAAGGTTTATGCTTAGAAAATCAAGAGTGGGGCTGAAAATTCAAGGAATGGAAGAACACTGCCCTTAAATAGCCTTGGGCAATCCCGAGGAAGCTCTTTCTTAATATTGAACTAGATATTGTAATATTTACTTGAAGAACTGGCTACATTTTTCTTTAAACAAATCTCTCTCCTTATCACTTCTAAGATCATCATAGATTTTGGACATACAAACAGAGGAATGCATCTTGGTGGAATCAGAGATAGTTAAGGTACATGTCTCATGCTGTTTAATGGCTGATGCCACTGCTAACAAACCATCCAATCCTAAAGAAAACAAATTGACATATTATGGATTTATAGATACTGATTATTGGGGATTGGTGGAAAATTTGTATTTTTCGCTGATACATGAATTTGATTTTATGGTTTTGACAAATTCTGTGCCCGTTTATTGTTAAAATTATATTCATGGTTTACATATGGCTACGAAATGATCATAAATCTACATGCCACAAATTATAATGAATACACCCTAGTTTTTTATATTTTCATCACAAACATATGCAGGTCTTTCAAAAGTAAACAGGTCGCAATTTTTGTCAGCAACTCTACTCACACTGTGCCTATGTCAAAATATTATTGAATGCAAGAAAAAGGCAAGTAGCCAATTACTTTGGTAGCTTGAAAATATTACATTTTGTGTACTTCAAAATCCTTAGATAGCCATGGATGTGTCCAAGTTTTGCAATGGAAGCGAATATGTAAGACCATACACCTGATAAACTTCCGAGACCTAAATTGGAGATGGAAATTTTTGTTGAAGTTTAAATTTCACACTTAAAGGTTGTATTAATTTAATAAGTTAACTATGAAAGTATCTTGATATCATGTTTTAACAATTGAAATGCAACTTTTCCAAAGTCACATAAGATATTTGAACCTAAGGTTTTTTAGCCTTAATTTTTTACAAGTGTCAAAGGCCTAAAAAAAATATGTGTGTTAATAGTACTCTAATGACCCTATTTTTTTTCTGTCAACCCTAGCTTTTATTTCACTGTAAATTAAGCAAGTCATATTTTCCTGGTATTGTTCTTGACAGTGATATTCTTTTTGTTCAACCGTTAGTTTTATGCAAGAAAATATCAGCATGTATTATGTAAAAACATATCTGACTGACAAAAACTTTGACAAATGGCCACTAACAGAAATATAGATAAATGCTATACCAGATTTGTTACAGAACCTGATAGGGCTATTTCTGAAATTACCAATCAAAAATTTAGTTTTTTTTTTTTAGTTTTGCTGACCTACCGACACTATTTTTTAAGCCGGTGACAGTAAACACACATATCTTGTTTGGGTCATAAGTATGAACTATCTTCATCATAATAATTGATTGGTACCTACCCTCTGTATCTAGGAATTTTCTTGTCCAGTGTAGTCCTGTTTCCCTGGTGATATATTTGATGATGAGTTCAATAACGTTATCTCGACCAGATGCTGAAACTTTGGCATTCTCAATCATCTTACTTAACATGGTAAACACATTGTCTGTAAGACTCTGTTGCTCCTCAGCTAAAAGTATATACTTTAAATTAAATTGTTTACATATTGCAATTTTTTATTTTGCCAAAAAATGTGACAGAATCACATTCGCAAAAATAAAAATTTGCATTCATAATTTCAGTAGTCATTAATTGATACCACTTTCCTTACCAAGTACAAAATGGACTTCTTAAATACAACTGATTTGCAAACTTCACATTAGAAAAAAGTAAATATATTATTCAGTGAACCATGATTTATTTATCATTTAATTACTTATTAATTCAGGGAAGCTTGACCAAATCAAATATCTATTCTTGTATGCAAGTTTTGCGAATATCCTTAATATCTTCTATAAAAGCTCTTATAAATAAAAAGTCAATATTATAAAAGAAAGAACTGGGAAGATTCACAGATCACAGATTCCAGCAGAATATAATTTTACAACAAGACTTCCATTTAACTCCATGTTTTGAAATGGGACACTATCAAAAAAATTTCAATCACAAAAAGGGGTGCAGCTTTCACATTCTGTAAAGAAGTTTGTAAAAGTTTTTCTTACTCATTTCAAATTTTGGCCATATGCAAGGATTCCCCTGCTTCCTTTCATCTTTATAGTGCTGCACCTTAGCTCTGTATAGCTCAAGATCAGTTAAGGCTACCAGTAGTTTCTCTAACAGAAATGTTGCTGAGGTTGAAACACGGTTATTTTTTTCTGCAATAAGGAAACCAATTCTCTTCAACTCTATCTGTTCAAATATTTGTTTGCTCTGAAATAATATGATCATGTTTTAGTAAAATTGAGAATGGAAATGGGGAATATGTTAAAGAGACAACAACCCGACCAAAGAGCAGACAACAGCCGAAGGCCACCTATGGGTCTTCAATGCAGCGAGAAAATCCCGCACCAGGAGGTGGTCCTCAGCTGGCCCCTAAATAAAATTGTGTGCTAGTTCAGTGAAAATAGACGTCACACTAAACTCCAAAACATATAAATGAACTAAAATTAAAAAAACATACTAGACTAACGAAGGCCAGAGGCTCCTAACTTGGGACAGATGCAAAAATGCGGCGGGGTTAAACATGTTTTGTGAGATCTCAACCCTCCCCCTATACCTCTATATGTCTGACAAAATTCCTTAATCACATGAATTTAGACAACAGTTGTTTACCAATCTTCTAATCTCAAAAATGTGATTGAGAACAAACAAAAACTGTCTGATGGAATTGCATGAACTCCAAAAGCAGGGGGACAGGCTGGATCAACAGGGTAAGTGCTTCCTGCTATGCATTAAGCACCTGTCATCAAAATTTACATTCACCCTGTTTCCCAAAGATTCATTCAATAACCAATTTTCAATTTTTACAAAGGGAAACTACTCCAAAGTTAAAAGATATGTATCTGGTCTGTATCACTTTCATGTGTGATAGAAATGACAAAAAAGAAATCTTGTTTTATGAATGGTTCAGATGAAAGCAACCCATGAAATTATCTGACAGTATATATATATATATATGTCTTCCAATGTGCAAAATCATGCTATTTCATTTATTTCTAATTAATTAGTCACTATCAATGTTCTAGGTAATTTTTTTGTCAATCAAATACTTGTTTTCCCTGACAAGTTAGGGCTATTCCATTAAAATGTATGTGGGAGGGTAGGAAGGGACTTTCAAAATATCCCTACAACCAAGAACCATTTTTTAGATAATTTTGCATAATGGTAATAGATGCATACTGGAAAAAGACCCATGACCCACATTCAATAATTAAACTTCCCTTCCTACCCTCCCACATACTTTAATGGAATAGCCCTTAAATGATATAACCTCAATTTTGCATTAAGTTAATAAGCTTGAAGTTAAAATTTAATACCAAATTTCAATAAATCATGTACATAGAGACAAAGGTCAAAGGGCACATCCCATAATAAACACAAAGATAAATGACAAAGGTCAAATCTTACAAAATTGCCTCTTTAATCCCATTTAGTTGAACATGCAAATGCTATCAGATGTTTTTCAAGGAAATATTTTCAGATTTTTTCCATGACATGTTTACATCTTATTAACTTGCAACTTAAATATTAACCAAAACTTGTCAGCCTGATACAATGCTGTCAAGTAATAAAATGATCAATAATTTAAATCTTTTTTTGCTTATGGCTAATGCAGAGCTTCTAGATAACTTGCCCTTTGCTTAGAAACCTGCATTAAAGTTCACAGAGCTGTCAAATATTAAACTTATTTACTGTTGAGTACCTTGCCTGAGACAATAAAATTAAGAACGGAAAATGGGAATGTATCAAAGCAACAACCTGACCAAATAGCAGAAAACAACCGAAGCCACCAATGGGTCTTCAACACAGCAAGAAAATCGCTTGTGTTTTAAGAGCTACAAATTAACCTACCCCCTGTTCTACTCAAGACAATCTAATGCCTTCAGAGCTGAAAAGTAATTAACCCTTGCTTTAGAACCCTGTGGCTCTTTTCAATTCAAAGTGTTTGTAAGCTATACTGAAATGTCATGACTTAGTATTTTTTCTATTAAGATTTTTGGTGAAAATGGTCCATGACTCTGACATGTAAATGTCCCCATAGCTGTTAATTAACTTAACCCATGTTTAGGACCCTGATTCTGACAAGTTAATATATAATCACAGCTACAAAGTAAATATAATTAATATTCTGACTAGAGCCTTGACTCAGAGAAGCATACACCTTTTTAGCTGCTAAGTAACTAATAACTTACTCTATCTTTTGAACCCTGGCTCAGACAAGCCAATGTCCTGAGAGATGCCTGTATTATGTCAGGGTCTCTTTCTTCTAATAACTGTTTTAGTTTAGCTACACCATTCTGTTCACTAATAAACTTTGCACCAGCTTCTTCTTTGGCTAACACCACTAAATTATTAGCTGCCTGTAAAAAGCATAACATGATTTAAAAGCTTTTAATAGATGATTGAAACGTTCAAATCACTTAAACTACAGGTGCCAAGGGATGTGGTGGGTAATTATAGCATTACCTGTCTGTGAGATGAAAATTGTAATAACCAATACATATGAAGGAAAATCCAAATTATGAGAAACTGCACCCCTACCCCAAATTAATGTGTGTTTAAATATAATCTATATTTAATATCCTGGTTCATAAAATGAAAAACATTTATATAGAAGTGAATACTTGAGTAAATGATTTTTTTATATATGTTTTGTATTTAATTTCACCTCTCATATCATTTAGGTGACTTAAAATTATACTACTTGTATTATGATACCATTCTGTAATAATGTATTTTTAGTTGCATTGTTTTCACGCTTTGTACATCTGTTTGGATGGAAGGATATACATTTTTTTCAACATTTAAAAAAATAAGTATTTCCTCTGCAGACTTTTCTCTGTACAAGGGTTGCTTACTTTGACAAGCACTGACAGCATCCACCAACCCTCTTGACATATAAAAATAAAATATATTTTTTACTTTTTTAGCATCTGGTTATCTTTTAAAACAATACTATATCCTCTTCAGAATATTCTCTGTGCAAGGGTTACTTACTTTGTCCATTTGGCATAAACCAATCCTATTGACATATAAAAATCAGGAACTTTTACTTTTTTTAGCACCTTGCTATCTTTTAAAACAAAATTATTCAAAATGTTATGTACTTGTAATTTTCCGCAAACCAATTAAGGAATTTATATTCCACAGTACTTACATTCAGCCTTTTCTCTTTTTCACAATTTGGGTCAAATGTAAAATTAAACATCTGAGCAACCTTTGAACTTGTGCTACTTTGTTCCTTGACCTGCAAAATCAATAGCAACAAGGTAATAATGGCTATAGTCTATATCTAATGTAATGGTATTTCACAAACAAAAAATCATCAACAAACGTGTTGTTTACACGTATATATTTTTGTTTTTCTTTGTTGATATATTTGTTTGTTTTTAAAGTGATTAATATTATGACACAATGTTGACTGCTGTACCCCTATTTTTGACATTTTTACCTATTATGTCTGTTTGTTTTCGTTATTTTTGTTATTTTACTTTTTATTACAATGTGGTTAGATACAAGGTACAGCAAATAGCATTACTGTTAACCACAATTTTTCACAGATATTTTATTAAATGTTCAGCCCTTTCTAACCAATTATGCAGTGATTTCCTAATTTTCTTGACGTATTTATAAAAGGGAAGATCCACATATTATTTTTTACTCACAAAAGTTATGAAAAATAAACTGTTGACACAAAGATATGTCTCGCCTATTGGCAGAAAATTCAGAAAAAGACAATCTGATGGGGAGCAACATTGCTTATTAATTCAAAGTCGCTGAACCATGACATAGAGGGCAGTGTGTCAAAATGATCCTCAAACTGAGATGTACTGATGGTAATGCAACTTTATAGAAAAAATCAATATCTATTGTAAGTAGTTCCTACCAAACTAACTTAAGAAGAAAATTTAGCATTGAAAGTTGGTAATCAATTGAAAGTCACTGGACCATGACCTACAGGGGCAGGACCTCGAAATAGTTCTGCTGATATGCACTGATAGTAATGCAACTTTATCCTGATAGACTATTTGGATAAAAATGTTGCCTAACAAAGTTAAGGTTGTGTTATATTTTCCTAGATTAATGGATTGAAACTTTTCCTTTAGGCTGATGGATTATAAAATTAACTTTCCCAATAAAATAGAATTTTATTATAAAATACCGTCTGTTAAATTGTAGGATTATTCCTTTTTTGCTGCAAAAATTTAATCTTTATATCAGGATAATACTTTTCAAAAGATTGTTAGGGTTGAGATCTCACAAAACATGTTTAACCCCCCCCCCCCCCCCCCCCCCCCCCCGCATTTTTGCGCCTGTCCCAAGTCAGGAACCTCTGGCCTATGTTAGTCTTGTATGTTTTTTTTAATTTTTGGCTCATTTATATGTTTCTGAGTTTAGTGCAACGTCCATTTTCACTGCACTAGTATACATTATTGTTTAGGGGCCAGCTGAAGCCTGCCTCGGGGTGCATCATTTTCTCGCTGTCTTGAAGACCCATTGGTGGCCTTGGGCTGTGTTCTGCTTATTGGTTGGGTTGTTGTCTCTTTGACACATTCCCCGTTTCCATTCTCAATTTTATTACAAAAACATTTTTAGTAGATAGGATTTATATCTTTCAATAATGGCTGTTGACTATGAATTTAACTTTGTCAAAATAGCATGTTGGGCTATGGGTAAGTCTTTCCTATATATTTTATTTTGTGCAAGTAAAAAATGCCTTTTTCAAGAAAGACTATAAAAAAGAAATAAATTTCCATGTGCATGTTTGAGGAATAACTTCATCAGGTATGTTCAAGATCAACTGTTTAGAAACATCTAGAATGTTTTTGAGCATAAAAACCAAAAGAGGGCTCCCACTTCATGTCACAAGGTCATATCTAATAAACTGCTTCGCTGAGCGCAGCTGGATACGCCCGCAGAGGTCCAACCCTGAACAGTTGGGGCAAAAATTGACACAATATTCAAGCTTGATACAGGTCTGAATTTGGATTGTAATTAAATATTTGACATATTATAGGTTTCTGAATAAATGTAGTCAAAGAACTTGAAATTGGTTAAATGAATTGAATTTATATTCAATTAAAGATTTCTTTCTGTTGTGCAATACACTGTGCTGTTGCGCAATACTAGTAAATCTGTTGTCAGACTATAAACAAATAAAGTTCAATAACTTCTCAATGTTATATTAGAAATTTATAAAAAAAACTAAAGGAGGTTATCTTAATAGATATAAATCAGTCATCAAAGTTTAATGAAAACTGCTCTAAGCACTTTAAGGATATTGTCCAAAAACTTGAAAATCACCCCTTTTTTTATGAATAAAATCTTGTAACTCGGAAACATAAAATCTAAAATTTATAAAAATCAAAAGGGAGCTTACAACAATAGATATAAACAATTTATCAAAGTTTCATAAAATATGCTGAAAGCATTTTTGAGTTATTGTCCGAAAACAGGAATATCCCCTTTTTGTAACAAATAAAACCCCATAAATCAGAAACGTATAGTCTAAAATTTATAAAAATCAAAAGGGAGCTCATGTCGATAGCATTAAACAATTCACCAAAGTTTCTTGCAAATTGGTGAAATTGTTTTTGAGTTGTTGTCCGAAAACTGGAAAATCCCCCCTTTTTTAATGAATAAAACTCCAAAATTTGGAAACGGTAAATTCCGAAATTGATAAAAAACGAAAGGGAGCTCATGTCCATAGATATAAACAATTCACCAAAGTTTCATGCATATTGGTAAAAGCGTTTTTTAGTTAATGTCCGACATGTTGACGAAGGACGGACAGACAGACGGACGGACGGTCAACGGTATACCATAATACGTCCCGTAAACGGGCGTATAAAAATTGCCTCAGGTCACCAAGTCCTTTCGAAGAAAATAAAACAGTTTTGAACAATGTTAAAGGTCACACAGGTCCTTTTAAATGAAACATAAATCGCAAGGTCCACCCTCAAGGTTGCAAGTTGGGTTTGCCCATGTTGGAGCCACCAAAACAGCCAAATTCATTGTCAACTTTGCATATTTTACATGTTTTAAGGTTACCTTCTCCTGAATAATAGGATTCAGTCTTTTCAATATAGGCTGTACTGCTGTATTTTTAGGATCAGACTTCATCAGGGCTGCAGCATCTTTGTAGGCCTCCTCTGCTTTGTTCAGCTTTTCATAAGCCTGACATCGTCTGTATAATGCTTTTGGATCATCAGGAACAATGTCTAAAGCTGAAGTAATAGATACAATACCTCACAGTTAACTGATGTTGTATACAATAAGTGATATTCCTCCTTTTTTCTCTCTAAAATCTTCTCCAAATTGGAAACATATTGATTTACAGGTATACTTTGTTTTTTACTTTTACAAAAGTACTTTGCTACTTCATTTTGCACACTTTTAGCCAAATAAGCTTTGTTTACATGGATCTGTTCTTTATCTGCCTTAATAATTGTTATTTCAAGGATAGAAATGTTTGCCTCCAAAGGTGTGTATCATAACCACAAAACAAGAAGGTCCTGAAAAGATCTTCGCAGCAGAAAGTACACGAATCAAGACAAAGCAGTGTCAAATCCTTAGGCCAAATAAAATAATATGGTTCCTGTATCATGTAGACAAAAAAATAGGGCAGGTAGTTAAGTCTGGAATTTTTTTATTTTACATTGAGTCTATGAGAGAGACATTCTGACTCTAACAGGGCTCATTGAAAAAAGACAAATGAATCTTCAGGGTAGGCTATATTTATGCCCAAAAAGTAGGGTAGGAAAACAAGAACCACACATATTTTTTTATTTGGCCTAAGTATTGAAGCATGGACAAAATGATGGATATTATCTGTATCTTAATCAGATTGTTAAAATCTCAAAATATTTCTATAGCCTTTCTCTACTCACATGCTGTGGCATCTTGGACCGCATCGGAAAATTTCTCCTTCTTAAGATGACAAGCTGCTCTGTTTTTGTAAATGATAGCTTTGTCTGTTTCCTTCAAGTCCCCAAGGTCTAACGCTTGTGTGTAACAAGAAATAGCGCTGTCTATATCACCTGACTTAAAATGCTTGTTCCCATCCTCACGTAAAAGCTGGGCAGAAGCCATCTATAAATAAATATAAATGTTTAAAAATAGTATGGTATTATCATTACAATTCAAAATATCACAAAAAGTTTACAATCTAATTAAAATTAAATCTCTGCTCTCACTCATTTATTTCATTCTTGGTTGCTGTGTGCACAGGCCCCAGCATTTAAATTAATGAATTGCTGGTGGTTAATGAAACCTATAGGCATTCAGCACTCTATGCATTTTTCATGGTGATTAGTTTTTATTGATGGAGAAAGCTGCAGTGCCACTGGCCTTTTGCAGGAAAACAGGAAATCCTAGTCAATCAAGATCAGTACCAAACACAACTTGCCAGGTGCAGGGTTCAAACTCCAACCTCAGTGTTGATAGGCTAGTGATTTCATAGATAAACTACTTAGATTACATAGACACAGGAGCCCCAGTACATTTAAATCTGCATTAGGATGTCTTAATCAATTAAGATGTGCTCAAATCTCTTCATTTCTGACTTTCATTTTATCTTAATCATGCCTGACATTGTTTAAGGGCTAAGGGATTGCATGTCGCTAAATGCTAAATAAAAATAGTTACTGGCAAATGTAACTATTCATTTTAATCATTCCAGTCATACCTGCCAACCTCTGAAACCTTCAAAGAGGGAGATCTCCCCCTCAGCTATGACGGCTGAGGGGGAGATTTTGCATGAAATACATTTTCAAGTTAAATATATGACCTGTTTATTTATTCATCTACAAAACACCTATAAGAGTTAGTAATTATACTTTATTTCTTCAATTCATGGTTATAATCTATATAAGGTGTTTTTTTCATTTTGCCTTTTTCAATACCTCTGAGTCTCATAACTCATAACATTCCATATTTTGATTTTGTTGTGAGACCTACACTAAGCATGCTTTCAAACGTTGTAAAGACCACCAGAAGAAACCGAAAAGTTGATTGAACATGACGTGTAAAATGAAGATTCATTGCAGTGTCAGTGAACTTGGTCGTAAAACTTTAAAATCTTTCATTCAATCTGCTTGACATATCGATTTGCAGTTATCTCTTTCTTCTCTTTTACACTGTCGATTGGTCCAGACAAAGATCTCTATCTTGTTGGAGTTGACAAAGCAGAAATGAATTTTGATTATTTATAAATCAAACATAAAAACTACTGACCAAAGTTTTCAAATGATCGTCGATTGTTTATTTATTTCTGTTGTCAGTAATGAAAAAGCCAGAGAACTACATATGCGGGTCATTCCAGGAAAAAATATCTGAAAGCGGGAGATTTTATACTCCTTGGTGGGAAATGGACCGGCAAGCAGGAGATTTCCGGAATTTTGTCGTTTGCGTGGGAGACTCCCGATCAAAAAAGGAGGGTTGGCAGGTACATGTATGTCCCATTTGCGAAATGAATATTGCAAGTTGCAAATGTCAACTGAACTGAATAGTATCCAGTGTTCTCCCCAGGCCCTTACAACACCTCGGACTCACAGTCCTATAATTTGGGAGCATGGTGACATGGTCATATAGGTCATAGCATGGTTCAATATTTCTGGTCCGTGGTGCTATAATTTTCAGTCCAAAATGGCAAAAACGGTAATTAAACAATTTTACATTTAAATTATACATTTTCATCCAAAACTTATATAGAAGCAGTTGAGGATCGAACCCCAAAACCATAGCAAAGTAATTTAAAGCATCGCTGTAACAACTGAATTAAAGGAGTAATCCACAGAACGCAACTAAACTTTTTGGAGGAGTGTTATTTGAGTGTCAACAGGTCAAGATAACACAGAATTTTCAAACTTCCAAATAATTTCCTTCAATTACCTTTTACCTCAGATGAAATTCTATAAAATACTGTAAATGAAATAGGTTTCTATATGTGAAAAACTAGTTTTAACGTATTTTGTGTCAAGGAAAAATTTTCATGCCGACTTTCAATTTAACAGGAAGTTGGTACTTTTTAAACCTCAGCGTTGAAGAGTTATTGTGGAAAATGTATTAAACTTTAGAAAAACAATATTTTCTTTATGATTTAGACCTCTATGTTTTAAAAACTTACCTCAACTTTCATTTTGCCTGTTTAAGTTTTCCAAATGACCATCGATTCACAATAATCAACCGTACAACACGAAGGGGTCCCTGTGACATCCTTCTATGATTTCCAAATATGGACATGAAATCTGAGATGCACTGTGGCTACCGCTGGGAAACTTCTGTATCCTTCTGGGCTTAGAAGATTCCAGATGTCCGAATTATTATGCAAATAGATATACGATAAATGTCAATGTAATATTTATAGAATAAGCGAAAGGTTTATGAAGATGATAATGTTTTACTGAAATTAAAAACAATTAACATACATATAATTTGAAGATATCTGTAAAGATGCTGTGCACAGTCCTTATTGAACCATTTTTTTCTTCAAAAACACCAGCTTTTATTCACACTTAAAATCATTATAACATGTAGCTAAAAGATACAATTTAATACTTAATCATGTTAATGTCAGGCATGCATAAGAGTATACGCACATGTTTTTTTTAAACTTTCTCTTCCTCTGAAAACTAATTTAAATATATTGAAAAAAATGTTTTGTTTGGTTTTGGGGGCGGGATTGGTTCTTCTTGTGGTTTTAATTAAATGTCTTTTGTATCTCTTTGTTTTTTGTTTTTTTTTTTTGTGTGTGTGTTTGTTTTGGTTGTTTTTTTGGGGGGGGTTTTTTTTTTGGGGGGGGGGCGCGCTATTTGTGTGTTTAGTCATTTTATTATTACTTCGGAGTCTTTTTCTTAATTCGTACTGAGTTTTCTTGATAACTTCTTGTGACATTGATGACATATGAGCAAGTCCTGTTCTTCGAGGCATCTTCATCATCGGATAATACCAGAGGCTATAATACAATATTGTGTTATTTGTCTTGGATAATACTTTATAAAGTCCGCTTGACTTCTTTGAAGACTGTTGTACTATTTATATTTATTCCATCAAGTATTTAACACTTCAACAAATAAAATTAAGATATATAGAGCCTTACTTATCAAGTAGGTCAAGTAGGGACCAAAAATTATGAAACAGGGGATTTTTAAGAATTTGTTTTCTACAAATAAAGATGTTAAACGGACTACAATAAAAGAATAAAAGGAATCACCTGAAAAATACGGGACAGTACAGCTTACAAACAGCAACACCGAATTAAAAAAAAGATCGCATTTCGTTTGCAGTCTTGAATCCAAACCCTACAGAGTGAAATTTTCATATCTTCTCTCAATTATAAAATGGTTAACTAAAGCTGTAAATCTGTCACCTGATGCTGATAAAGGGTCAGATAATAATACTTAACAAACAGATGTTTAAAACAAAAAACTGAGTTTGTAATAACAGTATAGATGATAATACACAATGTGTCCAGTTTCTGATATTACCATTCCAGAACAGGAACAATGAAATTAATTGAAATTTTGATTATTTTAACATTTTAATAACTACTCATGGAAATTAAATATTAAAAATGATGAAGGAAAGTTTGTGATGTTATAATTCCCTATACATTATTAAAAAAATTGAAATTTTTATTTGTCTTCTTATAATTTTTAATTTGTATTACATGTTTACATTTGTAATTAACTAAATATTCACATTTGTATTTACTATTAATTCATTCATGCAATAATTACCACCAATTATCAAGAAAACTAAACATGTGGTATTCATCAACTAACAAACTTATAATTTGAGTGACAAATTTATTTGAAAATTTTGTGTTTTCTAAGTGGTGTTGGTGATAAGCTGATTTTCCATCCAACATCATTTTGATGCAAATTCTTGGGCATAGTTGTATGACTGTTTGCGGCAATTTAAAAAAAAATGCTATACAAGGATTTATTTCAGTTGTGCTAAAAAATGAAATTCGTATATGTTGAGTCATTTTTCAGGTAACAAAAATGACGATTAACATTTCAATGTAACTGCATGAGTAACATAACGAAAACGAAGCTTGTATAAGAGTGGATAAGTGCTTTTAAAATGTTCGTGTAATGACTGTGACTTTTCATTGATTGATGTTTGCTTAACGTTCAGCGGCAATTATTTCATGCATATTGAGGACGTGAAAAACTTAACAATTAACACAATAGATTTGTTCTGCAAGGCATGTCAACCGTCATTTAAATCTGCAGGTAGTGCTTGCATAAAAATTTGAGGATATTTTGAATATATTCTAGTGTATGACAACCCTCGTCTCACACATACGCGGGCACCCATGGTATTTCGATCATTCTTTAAAAATACCTCTTGGATATAAAAAATATCAGGAGATGTGGTTCGATTTCTTATAATGAGACCATTATCGCCAGAGTCTAAAGGACGGGGATGTAAGACTGAAATAGAAGGTTACCGTACGGCCTTCAACAATGATCAAAACCATACACTACATAGTACACTATATAGAACTTCGGTCCCGATGACAAGATGGGAAACAATTAGTCAAAAGAAGAAAACAACGGCCTGGATTTTGCTGAAAGCAATAAACAAAAAACAAGGGTCCTGTTCTCATGCACCTATGTTTTAGATAAGATTTAAGTAATTTGCTCGCTTCCCGGTGTTCGAGGAAAGTGGGCATAATTGTCCATAATAGTAAAAAATAACCTTGGCGAACGTAGCTAATTTTTTTCGATGATTATATGCGAAAAGGGATATTGTTTTCGGTCAAAGGTACGCCCTTTACCCCCTCCCACCCTTTTTTTTCCTTTTGAATCTGCAACTGGCTTCAGCTCGTCAAAGTTCTTTTACTTAATTTGTTATAAATTGTATAATGGTTGGTAAGCCAAGGTGATATGAAATAATTGTGTATATATAGGTCTATTAATTTCGAATAAACGGCGTATAAATATATTCATTTTGCATGTCAATAAAATTGCACGACAGATGCAATGAACAGAGGCTGATTTAGGAGAGCCGGACTTCTATTTAAATTTACTGTTATAAATAAAAAATTAGAAATCATTTTTAAATTAAGAAATGCATCTCCTTCGTGCATAGCTCTGGGTTTTTTTTCCGGTTTTGCTTTATTTATGGTCCTATTTTCAATGTTTCTGTAACTATTTTTTTTTACAAGGCGAGATAGTTGGTCTTGCGCTCAACTCCCAACCCGGAGGGCCAGCAATTTTGTTCTCGGGGTATCCTTCCTCTAGATAAGCTGACTGCCAATTAAGACTTACGAGCCTTATATAACCGATTTGAATTTGGAGTTATTTCTTCTCCTAGGGTTGCTTTTCTTGGCTTACGGTCCCATCTATCCGGCTATTTTCCCATAGCTGGGGAGGAGCCAAGGGCCTAAGTATAAGTAAGTAATGTTCCTTTTTTTTTTTTTTGGTTTTATTCACTTTTCAAAGTTTGTATAAAATTTTGGAATTTCAAATAGTTTTACCTCGATCTTCAATGGAGATACTTTAATTGTCGAAATGCGCATCGTATGCAATAATATAGGTACATATATGTTTAATGCATGCCATTTACAAGGCCCACTCCTTATGTTGCATTGGTGGCCCCCTTTTAAATTAAAGATAACCATCTGATAGATCACAATAACTTCGAGAATTCTTATTGCGCGGAAAGAAACAGTAGAAGCATTAATTCGTTCAATGCACAGTAACCTTTCCATTTGATTCGTGCGTATTTTATCTATGACAACTTCTTGCCAATGAAATGTAAATAAACAAAGATGACCAAATGAGATTAAAACTTATAAAGTAAGGATTTCTGAAGCTACTTTAAGAAGTCACTGAACACAATTATTAATAAATTAGCTTCATACAAGAGTCGTAAATCGCCCCTTCAGTATACATACTAGACAGAGACTTGGACACCATCAAGTGGTCAGGAGTTAAGACACTTTGACCATGATAATGTTATCAAAAGATAAACACTGCTTATCATAATCATCTTTTACTGTTTCTTAAATATAAATGTATAAATCATTTACTGTTGATAAATTTCAGGTAGATATATATATATATATATAAGTAATATAGGTTATATTACAAGTCTAAAAGGGTACAACATCAAGGCCCGACAGACTTGCTCGGGAAAGGTTTTGGATAAGAAAGCTTATGACAGTTTCCTCAGAGGGCATAAATGAAAAAAACATAAAATGTGTCACTCATTTTCCCTACCATCACTTGTTTCCAGTAACTCAGGCTTCCGTTTTGGACTCTTACAGTTTTTAGACATTTATTCCTCCTCCCAAACATCAATATTGAAAAAAAATTACCAGCGTATTGATTATTGATAATTTGTATAGCATTCAAGATTTTTATTTCAGTTTGACTACCACATGTCAAGATAAGATTCATTTTACATCTTACTGATGAAGGATATTAGTTATCCGAAATATCTAAAATTTGTTCATGATTTAATTATTTTTTGGTGATGTACCCTTTTAGACTAGTTATATATTATATTTTGTAGTGTAGCTGTATCATAATTTTATGAACCATCACTCCGTAAGATTTATCGTTGGCTATTATTCAGTCATTTAAGTAATATAGGTTATATATGGTGACCACCCGTCTTTTTAATATTTTTAAATAATTATGTTTGTGTATACAAATTCAACATTTTAAGTCGCTTAACATATTTATTCCAACTAACAAATCTAACTAAATTTTGGTTATCCTCTATACTGTGGCACAGGAGTAGACTGAAAAGTGGGGACAATTCCCTCCAACCTCTAACCCAACACGCTCCTGGAATACCGAGGGAGCTGAGTCATTGTTACTAATTTAGTTTTCTGAAATGAATTTCTTTGGTCTTGTTATTTTTATTTATTCATGTTTTTGTATTTATCACATTAGTTTTAAATATCCTGTGCACAATTGTATTTCCTAATCTTAGATTAAGATGGATTTATTCTTCTTATTCTTTCATTATATGAAAAAAAAATAAAACAGCTT